CGACCCTGGCGCGGCCAAGCATGCAGGGGCCCAAAAGCAGCCATACAAAGCTCGCCTGCCTCTTCCAAGCTTCTTGGGCCAAGTCCCAGGTGTCAGCTGCCGTGTACAGCCTCTGCTCGGTTAGTTGCCTATGGCTTCTGAGGCTGGCACTTCGAGGGAAGCCTGCCAAAGTAAACCAACTGCATTGTTTCAGGGGAGTTTGTGGAAGCGTCGTGTTCGGGAAGTGGGCCTGTTAGAACTGAACCCGGCTTTTCCAACCAATGTGTTCTTCACATGGCTATAGCTACATCTCTTTGATGCTACTGGCCGATGATGTGATTCAGTGGCCGCAAATCTGGGCCGCTTTGAGTGCCTCTGCTTGGGGTTGTTTCCGGGGTTTCAACGGAAAGCCACTGAGGTGACTTTGATCTTTGCGCGTGGCATTGCTTAGGCACAGGGATCAGACGAAAACCCGAACTGGGTTGATTTCTATTGGTTTCCCTGCAAACCCCTTCAACCGCTACAACAATGATACAACCAAGATAGTCTACAGCGCTACTTGTGGGACAGTGTGTCGTCGGGCTTGAGGCCCTTCGGTAGCAACAGGGAACCCCCCCCCCCCCCGCAGTGAAACCTGCACAGCTGTGACTCCTGCTTTTGGAACCATGGATGTGATATTGGCCTCACTCATTTGCTGTCATTTGCGGGGAAAGGCCTGTACTTAGAGTATTTGTGCACGGCCCCTCCTTACCGCTAGCAGGCTGATGGGAATTGAGGTTCACACTGGCGCGAAACGCCACCTTCGAAGGGCATGCTCCTGCAAGGAGTTGTGGCTGCTGGGATCTCCAGGGAGGTTACTCAAACTTGTTGCTTCTGGTTGGTTTACAGCTGCACCTGTGCAAGCAATCAAGCAGTCGTTGCTGTGGCGGGACAGCCCTCTCTCTCTAAGCTAGGGCTGCCTAGACTTGAGTGTGCAGGGGTGCTTGCGTGGACATCGCCAATCAAGTAAGACTACGTGCTGCCGTTGGCTGACAGCCCTCCTTCCCTTCTCCGAGGGTTGTTGCAGTGCTTGTTCTGGGGGCTCTCTCTGACAAAGGGTAGAAGGTTTGCATGAGCAGGTGCATCGGGAGCATTTCTGCACGATCACAATCCATGCCATGGCTGCTATGAACGCACACCAATGGCCCATGGCATTAGACAGTCTCCAACCATTGGTTAAATACACTCATTTGGGGTGTCCATGGCTCTTCCCATAATTACCTCGAGAGATCCTCCCTTTGTGTCCAGCCATATGTTTTATTTTCCGGAGGCTGTTCCAGTTGTCCGCAACCAAACGGCCAAACAGTTTTCGAGAACTTCGATTCATTTCAGGGCTTCCCTCATTTTCGACAATGCATCAGGAGAGCTTTCAAGTTTGCTGTTTCCTTTCAAGTTTCTCCCCTAAACCCCCGGCTTTACTTCCATTGCATGGGCCGTGGCATCGGGCCTGAAGATCAAAGCAGACCCACTGGCTTGGATTTCCCTTTTCACTTTGGACCAAACTGGTGGGATCCTTGGGTTGCTAGCCAAGCCGCTCATGGCGCAGGCGCGCCCTGCTCTCAGAGGAACTGGTGCTTGCGGTTGGGAAGCTCCACGTGCTGCTTGGAGAAAAGTTGCCTGCGAGTTGGCCTCTTCATCTATTGAAGTGTTCCAACTTTGGCTGAAGTTGAGTTCCGGAAAGTGTAACTAGGGTTTTGAGCCTGTTGGTTCGATCACCCAAGTCGTTCGAAATAACCCAGCACGGTGCAACCACATGAGTTGGGAAGTCTTGGAGGACGAAATCCCTTGGGGATAATCGCAGTTGACGAGCAAGACGAAGCCTTTACGAGGGAACTCCCCTGATCCAATCTATGACCACGGCTGGGGATGATCCTGCCAAACGTACAGGACCGGGAATTTGGATGCGCTCAGGTCAGCGTCCGCTTGGGCCAACTGGTCTACAGTTCTACAAGTCCACATTGCACGTTGAAGCCCATTGTTTAAGGAGACAAAACAAGAAGGATCGAGATAGAAAGAACAGGAAAAGAGTGAGAGTGAGAGAGGAGAGAAAAACAAATGCATACAAGGGAGGGGAGGGTGCCCACAAGAAAGCAACCCGGCCCTACGGTCAATGCTTGGGCACATGAAAGTAAGGAATGGGGTCTAATTCCACGCTTTTCCCAGGGGATCGCCTTACGTAAGGTTCGTGGACACCTTCAAGAATCAGTGGGGGAAGCGATCCCGGCAAGAGCAATGCTGGACGCCACCTGCGGGGAGGGAGGGGCAGGGTCCTTCATCCTTAGTGCCCCACTCAGCGTGAGCAAAGCAAGGGTTCCCAGATTCGGGCAACTATATGACTTTCCAGGGTGGCAACGGTGCGAGTCGCACATTGGCCTGTTGCGAGTGTTTTTTGTTTTTGTTTTATTTTTTTCAGTTGGCCCCTGTTCAGAGCACAGGTTGCCGCTTTGCCATTGATGTGCTCCCCCGTTTTGCCGATGGCCACTCGCAGAACTTGTCCGTTGACCAAGGCAACCGAATTCGCCGGGTTGCACTTCTCCCCTGACATGTGTCATTGATGCACGCGGGTGCCCGTCTGAAGCCTTGTCAAAGGGATTACTTAAGGGTCCCCGGGCTGGTGGTCAGGGGGGAGGCCTGAAATCCCAGCTATTAGTTGAATAAAGCCTTTTGGTAACTCTCTTTAAAGGTGATCCAGGAATATGCCACAGTGTTGCATCCCGCCTCGTAAAGAAAAGAAGGCGGTTTCTGCGATTGACTTGATCACCAATGGGTTTGGGCCCTGGTTGACGTTTGTAGCAAGTGTTCCCTTCCCTTCCCATTTCAGAACTCCGGACTGTTTTTTTTTTTCTTCTGAGGTCTTCAGGTATTTCTGTGAGGTCTCGCCAGTTGTTTCAGGTAGTCGCGTGTTTTATGTAGCCGGTGCCGACGTCCAGGAGCTTTGCGGTTTGGCTTATTCTGGTGCTCGGCTTTGTGGCTGGAGAGGCCGATGGGGCTGGACAGATGGAACTTGGCGCCAAAATTATGCCGACGCCAACGCTAGGAACTAGAGCCAATGCCCCTTGGGAAGGGCAAAAGAGGGGTCGGGCCCCCGGGCCCGGGCCAGGGGCGCCGTTGACGGACTGATTTCACGACGTACACTTGACTGTGAAAGTAGGCGGCCTCTCTTTGCAGGTTCTCTGGGTAAGTGATGTCGAGAAGTATCATGATCCAAGACAGTCGAAGTCTAAATCGTGCGATGAGCCATTCCTTGAGTGTCTTGGAATGTCTTGAGTTTGGGAACCGCTACTCGTTGGGCAGGACAGTGATGATGCAAACCAAATCCCCCTGTACCAAAGAGGCCCTATGTGTGACATGCCCGCCGAACCTATCGTCACTTCGTTACTTCTGCAAGGCCTAATTCAAGACGCTCCAGAAATACTTAAAGCTCAAATGGACCCCATGCACAATGGATGGTCAACTGGTGGTGCCCCACCCAAGATCCTTCACATTTACAACCTCAGTGGCCGTGGCTGCAAACCAACCTGATACTGTTGCTTCATTCTGTTTTTGCATAGCTCTCGCTTCCATGCGCTTCAGACAGGCCCCCGTCGCCTCATCTTGTGGAGGCCTATGAAGAGTGGAAGGAAATGGAGCTTCCAGACACGGGGTATGCGAATTCCAGGCGTGTGGGATGTGAGGGTTGACCATTGAGCCCCTTGAAGCAAGCTCTTTGGCCAGACCTGGCCGATTGTGACACATTGGCCAGGCTGCCAAGAAGCGCCCGTTGGGCCAAACCATGGCTGGTGTTCTGTTTGCGCCTCTATTCGACGGAGTTTTGCAAGAGCCGCCCGTATGGCCCCAGTGCCCAAAATGTTGCACAAATCCGGCTTCCAGACATGTCTCCACTGTCCGAACATTTCTTCAACTAAGTGGAGTGGGAACCCAACTTAACACTTTGCTACAAGCTGGAGACCTTTGGCGTCTTCAAGACTCCCAGTCCTGCCAGGTCGGGAGGAAGGGAAATGCAGATTGTAAGGACCTTCTTCAACTGGAACAGTATGTCAACAAGTGACCTGGGCGACGATATGACCCTCACTCGCAGAAGCCAAGCTTCAGGGGCACTACAAGCCCTGGTTTAGAGGAAACTGTCTTTTGTGGCCAAGGGTCTGTCCATGTCCAACCCATCCTCTGGGAGGCTGATTTTGAAAGCATTGTGCACGGTGAGCTTTGGCCTCTCCAGTGGAATCCTGGTGCTGGTGGCATATGTGCAGTGCCACTTCCTTTTGGGACTGGATACGTCCTTGGACTGCTGGTGCCTCATCTGCAAGGGGGGGGGTTCACGAGGGATATCTATGCTTTTCAGCCAATTTGCAATGCGGTGTGCTTCAAGAATTGAGATCTCGTTGTTCAGCGACCATTCGCTGCGCCTTCCATTTCACACTCTCTGTCGTTCTGATGTCTCTGTAGTTGGGGGCAACTAGAGTAGTCTTTACCCCTTCATAGTAGATGCCCCACAGAGCAATATGTTTTCGTTGAACAATCTCAACGGCCCCACACTATGTTAGTGGGCCCATTCTAAGCCAAGACTGAACTAGCGTCCGGTCGAATTTGGGGACCTTCTGCCTACACTTGACTCCACCTCCACAAAAGTGAACAACGTGGGAGTTGGCAGTCCAACTCTCGAACACTGGGTCCTGAATAAAGTGCCGGGATCCAGAAAACACGTTTCTCCCAGGGCATTGCAATTTGTTGAACCTGTCGGCTTGCCCTGTTGCACTCCGCTTTATAGATCGTGGCTCAATGAAGAAGAGATTCGAGGCTTTCCCCAAAGCATCGCGAAGGGTTCTTGCGTGCGGAGTCCTTGGAGAGCAATTTGCACAGGTCTACTACTTGTATAGAGCAAGCACAGGGCAACTTGCCAGGAGGTGATCCACTCTGGATTGGTTGATGTTTCAGCATCAATGCTCAAGCCTGCAGGATGCCCCCATCCACGGTTCCCCGCTGCGCTCGCAGCCTCAAGCCTGCCCGTTCGCAGGTGCGCCAGTTTACTGGACGAGCCCGACTTCAGCCTTGGTGTCGAGAGCTGGCCCCTTTGGCACGGGATGGCCAGCTGGGCGCAGGCTTCTCTATATTGCCCCGTGGTTTAAACATTTTGGCTGAGGTAAACCTCCTTTTGGGAATCCCGCAGGCTGCGTTTGAACACCAAGACCCTGAAAGCAATAGCAATAACTGTAACAATAACTTGCCAGACGAGCCCAGGATGCGCAGTCTGAGCGAAGCCGCGCTGCCAGCAACTGTTTCTTCTCCCTGCCTTGGTATGGTCGCTGGGGCCGCCAACAATCGGGCAGAGCAACCCCGCAGGTTGTCACAGTTTGCCATAGGGAGCCCAAGGGCCTGCCAGTTCACCGTGCTCGTTAGCTTGTGCTTCAAGCATGGTTACGACATACAATGATGCAGCGCGCGCTTGGCTACGACAGTGCGCGGCTGGCGTGAAGAATCAACAGACACGCGAACGCCAGCACAAACACAAACGCACAAACGCAAACACAGGCAAGACAGCAAGGAAGCAAACAAACAAGCAACGAAACCTACGAGCATGCAAGAAGCCAAACACGCAAACACCCCAAGCCAAGCAAGCAAACAATCAAACAAACCCACCAACACTCAAACAAACACAACAAACACAAGCAAGCAAACAAACAAACACGCAAACAATTAACCAAAGAAACAAAACGAGCAAGCAAACAAGCAAGTAAGCAAGTAAGCAAGCAGACAAACAGATAAACAAACAGGCAAGCAAACGGACAAACAAGCAAACAACCACGCACAAACAAACTGCAAAACACACAACAACCACAACCAGCCAGCCAGCCAGCCAGCCAACCAACCAACCAACCAACCAAAAAGCAAACAACCAAACAACGAAACAAACAAACACATTCAAACGAGCAACCGCGCAAACACAAACACACACAGATACAAACGCAAGCAAGCGAACAAGCTAGCAAACAAGCGGGCAAGCAAAGAAGCAACAACACAGGCAAACATGCAAAGAACCAACACGCAAACAAACTAGCAAACAAGCAAACGGACAGACAGGGACATACACAGAGACAAAGACCAGAGACAGAGGCAGAGACAGAGACAGAGACAGAGAGCTTCACGGACACAGCCACACAAACACAGAATCACACAAGCAAGCGAGCAAGAAAGCAAGAAAGCACGAAATAAAGCACAAACACAAACGCGCAAACAACACACCAAACAACAAACAAGGACAACAAATCAGACAAGCAAACACACACACACAAACGCACACACACAAGCAACAACGCAAACACACAAATACAAGCAGGCAAGCTAACAAGCGAAGCAAACAAACACACAACCTAAGTAACAAACAGACAAGCACGCAAAGGCACGTAACAAGCAAAGCAAGCGCGCAAGCAGGCAAGAAAACAAGCACATGCAGACAGACACCTAGGCAACCACGCAAACAAACACATAGATAAATTAAACTAAATAAAACAAAATTAAGCCAACATAAATTCAATTAAAACAATCAAACACAAACAAACAAACAAACAATCACAAACAAACAAACAAACAAACAAAACACACACACACAAAAACAAACAATCAAACAAATAAACAAAAAAACAAACAAACAAACAAACAAACAAACACACAAACACACAAACAAACAATCAATGAATCAATCAATCAATCAATCAATCAATCAAACAAACAAACAAACAAACAAACAAACACACAAGCAAGCAAGCAAAGAAACAAACAAACAAGCAAACCAACCAACCAACCAAGCAATCAAACAAACAAACAATCAAACAAACACACACACACACAGCACACACACACACAGCACACACGCGCACACACACGCACACACAAACACACAGACCCGCACACACACACACACACACGCACGCACGCACGCACGCACGCACGCACGCACGCACACACGCACGCACCCACACACACACACACACACTCGCACCCACGCACCCACCCACGCACCCACGCACCCACGCACCCACGCACCCACGCACCCACGCACCCAGGCACCCACACACCCACGCACCCACGCACCCACGCACGCAAGCACGCACGCACACACACACACACAGACACCAACAACGAGATATTCACACACACACACGCAAAGCACACACACACACACACCCGCGCGCGCGCATATGCACGCAGAGCTACAGGCCACCCCTGCCAACGCCCCAAGCCGGCCCGATTGGGCGCTAGTTGCGGCCCGATCGGGGGTTGGTGGAACAACACACCTTTTAGGGTTGCATTTTTTTGAGTGACAATTGATTGCTTTCAGGGTCATGTTTTGCATTGGCTGCTTCACATTCTGGTTTGCCATCATGGTTGCCCACTTGGGTTTCCAACATGAGTTGCCCCATCCTCTAAAGTCAGCCCTGAGACTGGCCTGTGCCACCTGTGGCATTCCGCACAATCAGAACGAAATACCATCAGTCATCCCTGTCAGGTAGGCCGCCAGAATATATCAGGCCCCTGGTCTGTTACCAGCCCGCTTTCCCTTGTTCCAGCTGCGAGACGTCGATTTGCAACAGCATGCAAGAGCCCTCGCGGATGGTGTCACCAGAGGAGGTGAGGACCCGCCGACTTGGTTTTGGTTGGTCACAAGTGTGCCTTTTACCTTGCCACTACATGGCGTAGCAATTGTCATGTGACCTTGGGCAAAAGACTTGCTTTGCACACCGCACCGGTTGAACTGACGATTCTCGATCTTTGGGCTTTCGACACTGGCTGCGGATGAGCTCCGCTTCCAAGGAACTGCCTCCAGGCGTTGCTGAAGTGCATCGGCCGAGAGATGGCCAGCAGCTTTCTCATGATGCAGATTTTGGGTGCCGGGGCTTCAAGTATGGGGGAAAAGCGGGGAGGTGCATGGACAGGCCACAGGGCGGAAGATTTGGTGGATCCCTTTGGCAAGGACCTGCCAGGCAGAGAAACGGATCTCGAGCGTGACTCGCATCGAGAAACCATGCGAAAGATTCGCTTTTAACATGCTCAACGTCAGTGACTCCCGGTGAATATGGGATGTGTTTTTGAGAGACCTTGGCCTCATCGGCAAGGAGGATCTTGGTTGAGGGCCGGCAAGCTTGCATGCGGTGAGGGAGGTGCAATTTTGCTTGGGAAGTTCTTTGGGGCCGCACGCAATTTGGATATTGGAAAGTTAACCAAGATAGTTGCCTGAAGAATCTGGCATTACCGAACAATTTTGCTATATTTTGCTTTGAGCAAGGTTATGGCTTTGCTGGTGAAGGCATTGGTGGGTTTGTTACGGGTTGCCCTTAGGTCGCAGTGTGAGGGGAGGTTGGCTGGATTCTGTTGACGTTGGTCACCAGGGCGGTTTGTAAGGTGATCAAGCTCAGTCCATCCCCCCGCGGAGGTGCCGCAGGATTCATCTATTTCCTCACCAGCGCTGTGACGGCGCGCTTGGGACTGGGCGCCAACCGCAAGTAAAGGGCAGGCTGCCATCCTTTTGGCAGCGCACAGCTGTTTAACCCACTGGCCCTGATGAACCCTTCGCCGTAGGGTTCAAGTCACTTCTCATTTGCAGGCGGCAAGCATGAAATCGACAGAATATCGTGCACACACACGGGCGCGCACACACACACACACACACACACACACACACACACACACACACACACACACACACACACACACACACACACACACACACACACACACACACACACACACACACACACACACACACACACACACACACACACACACACACACACACACACACACACACACACACACACACACACACACACACACACACACACACACACACACGCACACACGCACGTACACTGTCATTCATGCTGATTCAGTGCCACAATGGGCTCAACTTAAACCAAGTCCTTTGCCTCGATGCCGGGGATCAAGTACACATCAATTGCAGTAAGGCACACCAGGTATATTTGGGCTCCTTCACCGAGCGGAATGGGATGCAACATACTTTCAGGATGTGAGCAAGTTGCGTACATAACGGATTCTTCAAAGGCAGATGCTTCAGTGGGAGACCCGCGACGGTAGTGGTGCTCAACTCACCGATTCGGCTTGCTTGAAGGCAGGCACACGGCGTTCACGCGTGGATTCGTGTGGCACCTTCGCTCCTACCTTTGGCTTTCAGATGGGTCAAATGAGCAAGCAGAAGTAAAGCCAGCCATTTATTTGGTCTCCAAACAACCTCAGTAGACTCAGTCGGGGAGTTTCCATATATAATTTTACTGAGCGTGTGCAGGTGGCATTCCAGCGGTCCTTTGACCGAGAAGTGATGCTGATGGAAGGCAGGCGCATGCCATGTCAGCTGAGTCTATGCCGAGCAGGTTGCTCAAGACTGACAAACCTGGCTCCAGTCCTGGAGCTCAGTTCAGTTTCGTAGGTTTCATCGAATGGTTACAGTGAAAAACCTTCCTGCACCCATAGAACTGGAAAGAGGGCGTTGGATTGCTAAGATCATGTGAAACAAGCATCACTTTCTTGGGAAGATCGACTTATCCGCTGATTCAGGCGAAAGCAGATAATCATGAAACCAACCCTTTTGGTGACCCTTGGGCGCTTCTTAGGTGAAATATGGACGGCCAAGCCCCACACTCTTACCGCAAGGATCCTTCGGACAAAGCCAACAGCAATGCCGCCTGACCACGTATGACATTGTGTTTCTAGCCTCCCAAATGGTCCAATATTTTGTTTTCCTTTGAACGTGCTTAAATGGCTTATCACCTCCCACGGTTTTCCAGAATCCAAGCTCGAGTGTACTGAGTTTGTTGTTGAAGCAGCTCGGAATTGAAAAGCTCATGGATGGTGTCTTGAAGGGAAACCAAGCAGTTTGGGAGGGTTCGCAATTTCTGGGACGTACCCAAAACGGCTTTTCTGTTTCACGGACCTGTCCTGGATTCACTTGTCCAAAGAGTGTCGGCCCTTTTTTCCTGGCTTCTGCATAGCCTCTGGATTTCCGCATGTTTGGCCCATATTAAGTCATGACCTCCACGGGTCCTCCACGGGTTTACCTTTCATTTCCAGATCCTGGCGGGTGAGCTCGAGTGCGGTCAATTTCCTGACGTGGTGGCAGGTGTTGAAGCTTGCGCCGTTTGAAACTAAGCTGTTCAATGGTTGTCAACCTTTTTTGGGGGCAGCTACCTCGGGCAGTCACGTAGGAAGCCTTTTCCTGCACGTCGCGAGAAAAGCATTGTACAATTCAAAAGGCACTTCCACCCCATGAATCAAAAGGTTGGCGGAGGCGGAAAGTACTTTCCTCACGATTCGGCATTCTAATTCCTTCAAGACAGAAAGTTGGGCAGTGTGTCAGTTCCTGCCAGTCCAACCCTTCACGACAGAAACGTGTTTGCTCTCTTTCTTCACGGCCACTTGGCCGGTAGGGGTGCGGATTTGCTCATGAACAAGTCCGCAGGATTGCGATCGCTCCCTTTGCTTCTGCACTTCCTCTTGGAGATGCATGTTTTCTCGCGCGGGGCAACTCTGACACAAAAATGTCGCATCATCCCGTCCTTTGTGAATCAGATCCCCTCCGCGCCTTGGGTTCAAAGGCGCGGCCTTGGTGTGGAAAGCACTTTGGGCATTCCCTGCCATCGTCACCTTGTGGAAGGCTCATTTGTTTGACTTGTCTTGGAGGGAGATCGAAAAGGCCCAAGTTGCTGTTGTTCATATGGTTGGCTTTGGATACCTTCTTGCGCCTTTGGCACGTGCTTTGCTTGGCTTCCTTTGGGCGCACATTTCAGTGAACTCACATACATCAGAGATTGCCTACCCCATTGACCACCGGAGAAAATGCACAAGCAGAACCCGGGCTTGTTTGGGCAAAGGTGGGGCAGTCCTTTCCATGTGTTCTTGCCGGTGCCATCAGACAATAGAAGACACAGCTTGGATTCCCTTTTCATGAATTCCCTTTGCGATTGGACAGGACAAGGTTCGGACGTTGTGACTAGGCCGAGATGTTTTGCAAGCAGCACGAAAAAGCAAGCGCAGATATGAGATGTTGCGAGAAGCAGAATTGCGTATTTTGCGATCTCGTTAAAGTGTGTGAAGCACGATTGGGGCAAAACGCACGCTTGGATTTTCGGGCAAAAGGTGCCTGGGATCTGTGTTTATAGCTTTTTGGTTGTCAATTGCTTGGGGGGAATAGGTGTTGCCTGAATGCTTTGAGGCAAACTGGTTGCAACTGTAGGATAGGTCAGGTTTGAAAGGCAGGCTGAGCGAATGGGAAGTTCTTTTCCCGCACCCAAACCTGATCGCAATGTGACACCCAGGAGAGGAATTTGGCCGGGCGATGTGACCCAATCTCGGATAACGTTGGGGAATGATTCTCATTCAGCTGCGTGGCGCTTCACAACTCAGTTACCCAGTGGCCGAGAGGGAAAAGTAACAAAAACACATGCGTGCTTTTTCTTGCTTGCTCATTTGGACAGGCTGGCACTAGCAAAATCGGAGAATCAAACACAAGTGGGGATCTTTCTTCTTTGGAGAAGACACCTAAACTCTGCAACATGTGAACGCGATGCTTGAGCATGGCAGCCCTTGATCGAGACCTGACGGATCCAGAGCCTTTGGTGTTCAACCTCATGCTCATCGATGCACAGGTTTCTTTTGTCTTATGCTTTGTTGGTCGAACCGAGAGTGAGTTTTGGGCGCGGCTTAGTTGTTTGCGTTGAATGGGCAGACGCGGAAATAGCCCCCCGCCATTTTTGTGGGCACCCGTTGGTGTCCTTGGCTCAGCTAAAGCCATCAGTTTTAAGATTTTGGCCAAGACGAGGCTAAGCCCAAAATGGCCCCTGAGTTTGGCCACCGCATGATTTGCGGCCAATCTTCACAGGTGATACATGCGGACGCCTATGGGGTTGTCCCCGACAATCTGTGCGTGTTTCTGCTTGCTGTCAGTCCATCAACTCGGGAAGTGGCGCGAACAGCTGGGATAAATGGGTTCCCTTCCAGGTTCTTGGTTTGTACAAGATATACGAAATCCCAAGAACAAATGTTGACACGTCGAGTCAAGTTTGCCCATTTGAGCGGCTTCGCGAGGCAACCTTGCTGAACCCTGCCCGTTCATATCTGGTCCAGTTTGTGACCGACAGCTCTGCCGGCTTCCTGGTGAGAGACGTGAAGCTGACGCCGGAGATGTTCTTGAAGATCTTTGTTCTGATCGGAGGCACGGATTGTCGGGAAGCCGCGATGGAGAGGGTTGCGGAGGAAGTTGTGCGCATTCACTTTAAACGGGAAAGAAGAGACATCCCCGACAAAAGTCAACTGGAGGTTTGCAGGTTCGCGTCATTGCTTGGGAGGACCTTTCTTTAAAAACAGCATTTGTGGAGCCACTCCTCCTGCGCAAAGCGATTTGACACACATGTCACAGCGAGTGACAGCATTGTTGGGTTGCATTGCTGGCTTCACCGGAGGGACCGACCCTATAATACCAGTGACACAGCAAATCTGATCGGACTAACGTCGGATTCTTGTGCGCCAGCTTGCCCTATCGTTCCAAGCCCGTCTTAGGTCACAACTTGACTGTATATTCAATACATGCTTGAATATTGTCTAGGAGCGCACACATACTTGGTGGCAGTTGCCTTCCGATGCCTCACTCTCTCGCCAAAGGGTGGCACGCCAATTCTGCATTTTGACAATATTTGATGGCAGGAACGCGGAGCGCGGAGGTTGCAGCTGTGTTTTGCGTGGTTGGACTTCTCGCGTGGACGTGATATTGGGACAGTTCGAGCTCCAATTCTGGAAAGTGAGTGATGATCCGGAGGTCGTGCGCAGTTTCGGGATTCGGGATTTAATCACATTTCGGGATTAAACGGGACTGGGAAGGCGGGATAGATTCGGGATTCGGGGCTGCTTTAGGCTTGGTTAGGCTTGGTTAGGGTTGGTTGGTTGAGGGTTGGTTTGGGGTTGCTATAGGTTTGGTTCAGGTTGTTTTCGGGTTGGTTTAGGGTTGGTTGAGGATTGCTTCAGAGTTGGTTTAGGGCTGGTTTAGGGTTGGTTCAGGGCTGGTTTAGGCTTGGTTTAGGCTTGGTTTGGGGTTGGTTTAGGGTTAGTTAAGGGTTGGTTTAGGGCTGGTTTAGGCGTGGTTTCGGCTTGGTTTAGGGTGTATTTAGGGTTTATTTAGGTTTGGCTTAGGGTTGGCTTAGGCCTGATTTAGGGTTGGATTCAACGTTTTTCGAAGCTTGTCACAATTTGTTGTTAAGACCGCCTTGCGTGACCCCAGGCTTGTTTGCGCATGTGTGATTAGGTGGACGGCGGGTGGGATTCCTGCCTGATGACCACACTGGCAGGTATTTTGTCTGCTCTGGTGGGCGTCCTTTCTCGTGCATCTCGGCAAGGGGAACGCCGGGCACCGTTGCGTTCAAGCGGCGGCAAGTCGCCCGTTTTCCACAAGATCCGAGTCCCACCTCTTCTTTTGTGATGCCTGGGTAGCGGGTTATCATTTAGGTAGTCCTAGTAGTGGACGGGACGAGCGAGGTTTTGGTTTGGCTCGGGAGTGTGCAATAAAATTGTGGTGATGGAGCAATCCAAGGCCAGTATATAGCTTTTGCACTTTGCTGGGTAGAACAATGCTGGGAGGTGAAGCTGGTGGGCGGAGAATCTCAGGGTTGGAAAGTATTGCATTTGGATGTGGGCGGAGAGTCTCATCCATGGAGGTCTGGATGCTCTGCTGGTTTCAGAGTCGCCCGGATAGAATAATTTTTGACTCACGGCAACTTGCACTCGGCTCTTCCGAGGAGTCGAGTGCAAATACTAGGAATGCTGGAGTTTGCTGATTGGGAAAGCTCAACTGCACCTGCCCTATTCCCCACAAGCCGGCCCATTAGATTTTGCTTGGCAAAGTGCCCGACCAGTTGAATCGTCCCTTTGTGCTCAAGGCTGCCACTGCTGCAAGCATTGCTCCCCGTGTGGTTTGTTGCTAACAGGGAAGAAGCGGGAAGGACGTGTTGACGGAGGATGATCTCAGAATGCTGTGTTCGTAGGGGTTTGTTCAAAGCGAATCTTTTTGTCCACTTGCTGTCTAGTTTCACCCTGCTTGTGGAATTTCCAGAAGAGGCTGGCCATCATTGGGGCCGGGAGTTCTCTCTTGCATGCACGTAAGCCCAGTACTTGGGTCTAATCTTAGATGAAGCACTTCCTAGATTTGTCGTGAGGATTGGGAGCTGGCAAACTGTGGAATCAACCGCAACTGAGGTCTGTCTGACAACAGCAGTGCCAACAAGACTCGGTCTCACTGCTTGCCTTGGAGTGCCTTGCTTCTGCCTACCACCAAAAGCAAGCGCTTTCTGGGTGCGGATTACGTGCCAGCCAGGCTGCAACTGCACACGGGGCGCAGACGCAAAGCGCATAGAATCCAAGAGTTCCGTACCTGTATCTTCCAACAAGCGCTATTTAATTAGTCTTCGAGCGTTAAATCAGCCAACTGGAAGGCTGCTTGGCAAAGGAATCGCGGCTCCTTTGGAGAACACTTTGCGCAATGCTGTGAATGTTTTGAACAGAGCAGCAGCTTTCCTGGATGAAACGGGCAAGGCCGCACAACGAGCGCACATTCCCGCTACAAAAGCGCAATTTCCGGCCACACGAGCGCACATCAAAAAGTGCTAGTTTTGCCACGTTGCAAATCTTGCACATGAGTAGCAGAAAGACTGAGCCCGCACGATGGACAGTTTCTTCTTTTTCGATATCCGCATCCGAGCGCTTTTTCTTGAACCGAGCGCCTTTCAGATAAACGCGCTGTAATCTGCACGAGCGGAAAATAACGCTCATCGGAAGATTCAGGTATTCCGTTATCGACGATGGGATTCGTCAGTGTTGGCCTTGGCCCGATAGATTTTCTCCGATTTGTGCGATAAGACCAGGGCAATGCCAAGCATTTGCTTTTGTACAAGCTTCGCACTATCCAGCTTCTGGACCCTTGGTTTCGGAGTCTTAAATGCTCTGAGCCGAAACGAGGATGAGTGCTGCTGATTAGTAAATCCTCCCTCCCCCCCTCAAAGCCATCAAGGTCCAGAAAACCAAGTTGTTGGAGGGTTTTTCTGGATCCCCGCTTCACCAATAGGAGTGCTATAAGAAAGGAAGCCGTGTTTTTGCTTATTTGTTTTATCATTGCTAGAGAGGGCCATGATTTATCGCGAGGGGGGGGGGACTGGCCTTGAAGGGGGGGTACCCTTCATGAGCATGTCAAACTTAGACCTTTGAAGCAATCTTTAGTAATAACTTACTTGTTGCTGCTGGGTAGCCTGTTGTGGAGGTCTGTTTACAGTTTGTGGCAGCCTTTGTAAGTCAGAATTGTATTTTTCGTGTTTTGGACTTTACGAGGGGGTAAAGGGGGGAATCGGAGGAGTCTTAGCGGTGACGAAATAAGAAGGGGTCGCAACATTGACTGAAATGGAAAACAGTTTTGGTGAGGGAACTCGGGGGGGAGCAAGTCAGCATGAATTAGGGGGTCGCTAATCAGGCACCAATGGTACCTTCTTTTCGGCAGTCACGGCCTCAACTCAAGCGAAGGCACGAATGAACAGGGGCGGACTTGCCAGGTGTCATTCGATTGCATCAAAGTTGCCAGCTGCGCTCACCACGTACACTCCAAGGAGGGTGCCAATCGGCCGAAAAGGTCCATGGACGTTCTTGTCTCAAGCTACGAGAAATGAGGCATGAAACAACACACCTATGCTTTGATTCGTGTTTGAGTGAGCAACTCGCTGACTGATTCATTGCGTTGTCAGACCCCCTTGAACTGTGAGGGCTTGATTTCACGTTGGCCGCTGTATTTTGCTCTTTTTAACTTGCGTGAGGAGGATCTTAAGACTTACCCAAATTGGAGCGCTCGTAGTGCGCGAAGGGGCTTTGCACGGTGGCTCCCCAACATCCCCAAATTAGTAGCGACCTTTGGGTCGCAACAAGGGCTCTACAGGGCCGAAATGAATAAACGGGGGGTGGGGCCGTGTGTGTCAAGCCGATTGCCTTTTTCTTTTTCAGAAGTCAACAACCCGAAACACCTCCAGCAGCCTGCCTTTGGACCACTTTTGAAGTTCTGGAAAATAGTGGTGGTTTGGGGAGGACACCACCCAGTATTCTCCTGCTTTTGGGGAAACAAGAGCTCTCAAGTCGACGTACCCTTCGACCTGTCCCCCACGCGCTTGGGATTAGAGCCCAATGAAAACACGTATAGGGCTCAGATTTCTTATGCCTCATGTTTGGAGAAGTTCGCACGAGATATGCGCAGACGTTGTGAGCAATTGGATCCTTCCTGGAGGCGTTGGCTGGTAAGGGGCAAAGGCCTTCGCGTAGTTCATTTGCCCTTCGGCTTTCCAACGCTGCAGCAAAGCTGAACATGCAGACATGTGGCTTGCTGTGGGGTTGCGGCATACGTAGCCGCTCGTTTTTTCGCGGGTGACCTATGAATCAAACCGGCTTCTGCGGAATTCACGCGAAGCCACCAAATCGCTCAAGGCCCCATTGTCTGGTTCCAGTCGAAGATCACCAAAGAACGGAAGCCTTCGATTTTAGTATGGGATTGATTTTTCATCAGCTCCCAGATGGGTGGCAATGTTACTTCATGGATTTCCTACACCCAACGTCCGCAGGGCCACAGTGGCTGAAGGAGTCGGAGTGAGTTGAGTTTGGCCAAGAGGTGCTAGAAGAGCACGGCATTGCGCAACAAGTCATGCATGCAGACCACGCAGGATTGGTTGACAAAGCGGCAAAGAAAGCAACCTCCCGAAGGTCAACAGAGCCGACTATGAAGATTAAGAAATAGCGCACGTGCCTTGTTGAAGATAAGGTCAAAAGTCATGACGAGAGGGTCGGGCAGGAAGCCTCGCCACCACCCTGGCGAAACAAACCATACCGCCAAGACGTGCTGGGCAAGGAATGGGCCTGTTCTCTACGATTCGCTGTAGCCGACCACAACATGTCCGTGACGTGTCGTGTGCCTCAGCGCTTAACAATGCTTTCAAGAGAATATATGAGGATTCAGGAGGAGTCGGGAGCTTGCTGTTGGCAACTGCGCTGCTTCAGCCTCGGTCTGCTTCCTCAGGAAAACAGCAACATTGCCTGTTGCTGCCCACAGCCTTCAGCTCACCAAACGCTGGCCTTGACGATGGCGCTCTGTATTTGGCACGCCCCACCCCGGCAATCACGCTTCCGGGTTTGACATCCACGATTTGGATCCTCATGCTGGTAGAGGAGACGTGGGGACTGGCGTCAGACGAAGAGTACATGGGTGAAACACATATTGGCGGAGCGGCCGCAGAAGAAGAACACGCTAACCCCTGCATGACGGCAAAGTTGCTTCTATCATTCGGTGGCTGTGTTCAAATGCTGCGTCCGGTTTGCCTTCTGCTGACAACAGAAAGCCAGGCTTGTCTAACATTGCCGAAGCCTTGACTCGGTACTTGGACGCTGTGACTGAAAGCATCAATCCACATCAGGTGTTCCTGGACACGTCCTGGCCACGAGCCTGAAAACTGAAACGTGAAAACGCACGATCTTGCGCACCTGCCACATGGCCGTGTTCCAACTTGTGAGTTGGAGCCCGGCGCTGAACATAATCTCCTTTCCGTTGGTGAAACGCACACAGCTAACGTGGCGAAAGACGGACACCAGAAGCAAAGCAAAAGGAATGCGCCAAAGGCCGAATCCAGCTAAGGGGAAGGAAATGGAACGAACATCGTTGGTAGGATCGATAGGCAATACAGAGGGTGTGGAGAACAATGCAAGCTTCTGGAAACGACAGAAAGCCAATACACAGCAAAGGGCAACCATTGACCGTGAATTGTGCGAGGTTGCATGTTTGTTGTATAGTGTTCTTGGAGCTGACGTGCTTGCTGATGCTGGCTTGGCTACTTTGCACTCGCCTGTGTTGGCTGACGGTTTGCACACGGCGGGGACAAACTTGCAGGTCACTGTTTTGAGATTATGGGTTTTTGTTTGCCCACATTGCAGGTCTTCTCATAAACTGCCCGGCCATTTTCCGTCAGCCTCGTCTGGGCCACAAGCGTTCATTGGTCACCGCTGGCACGTTGAATTGGCAGTCCGGACTTGCATACTGCCATGCCTTGATCTCAGATCTCGTGCTGGGAGGAGGCCAGCCAGCTCGTTGTGCAAAGCAGGTTGCACACTGACGGGAACTGGAGGGGAGGTACTATATGAGGTACGGGTGCCATGCCACCACAACAAGGGCCACATTGCCTGAAACTGGCCGCCCCATGGAAATTCAGAGGTCACGGCTTTGTACAGGGATCCTTCTCATTGGGCCGGGGGGATTTTGCATATAACCTGGAACATTGTGCTTCCAACGAAATTTGTGTCTGTTTTGCTTCTGATTTCATTTGCGCTTACGCACTGGGGTCACAAGCAATCATTCACTGTTGCTTTTTGGTCAGGGCCTGGCTTTGCTTCGCATTTACAGCATCTGTACCGCTTGTGCGGAGATGCAAACAGCCTTGCTGCGTGCTCTCTTGGGCATATGTTGATTTCTTCTTGCCAAGCTCTGCACTTTTCATCAATCAGGATATCAACCTCGGAGCGTCGGTGGTAGACCCAGATATTCTGGTTGCCGCAGGCCCCTTTCTCACCCCCCACCTCTCCTGCAGGGTTCAATTCGCCCCCGGCCCTGCACAGCGTGTTCCCATAATCTCGTCCACATGTTTGCAGCTAGGGAATCTTTCTCATTATGACCTGGCCCAAGTTTCGGTCTTAATGGCTTTTTGGAATTTCATTTAAAGCTGCTATTCTTAGTATCTTGCAACCACTGGGTCGTACATTGCGTCATTGGGGGCTGGCTAGCCTTCGTTCGCTTGTCAAGCAGCCAAGGTTGGAGACCTACCCTGGCGCAGTTGTTTCCCCTTTTGCTTAGTCCAAAACCATTTGCTTGGGTGATTTGACCTGCCTACACCAGCCGCATGGACCCTCAGGTTGGTTTCAAAGTGGGCAATATGAGTTGTGTTCGGTCCTCTCAGTTTCCTTGCAATCACGACACAAGACCTGTCCACTTTGTTCGGACATCACACTCCAAATGCGCCCGGCTCTCCGATCGAAGGCAAACCGACAGCGTCCCTTCCTGCGAAAGGTTGTGAGAACTTTTTTTTCCTTGGCGGCAGGCCATGAGGCTCAGGCCCAGGTTTAGAGCCCCATGCAGCTGGCACGGAAGCTCCACAAACCGTGAAGTAAGCAGCTTGGAAAAGGCCCTGTACACCTTGGAATTTCGACTTTCAATGCGTTTAATCCCTTATCCGTTTTCTACCTCAATGCCGAGGCCTGTCAAGCCGCTTTCTCGTCACTTGCGACCTGCTTTAGAAGGCTTGTTTCATAGCTATCTAGTTGACTGTCCTTGCAATTCCTGTTGCCAGTGCCAGCCAGGGCTTGTCATGGTTCTAACTTATCCACATCCCATACCTGGGTTCTTTGCATGACATGTTGGGGCTTCCGCGCACTCCATTCTTCCCTGGAAGTGTGTGGTTTGTCGGTTGAGTTTGGTGAAAGCCCAACAGACACAGCGGTGCTGAGCTATGCGTGAGCTTTCCATCACTGCAATTTGGAAGCATTCACCACAATATCCCCATAGTTCGTCTTGCAAGACTTACCGAGCCGCTGCAAGCAATGGATGTTATAGCTATTGGGATGTGATGTGCTATGGCATTTTGTCCAGGGAAACATCTGATCACAGCCGCTAAAGATTGCTTGTCGTTACGGACAGGGTGGCTCATCGTGAAAGTGTCAGCCCGCCTGATGCACAGTCACCAGTGTGGAGCATGGCGACTTGCAGCATTCCCTTCGAGAGGCAGGCATGAAAAGACATGCCTTTCACTTGTCACCACAGAAGCAATCCCTACATGTGTCCCTTTGTGGCACGCAAGCGCCATGGTTTTGGCGAATGTAAAGTGAGCTATACAACATGTTTGCCAGGTTTTGCAGCTTTGAGTTGGACGTGTTTTGAGTTTGTTTTCCTGAAGACGTGCTTGGGGCGATGATTGAGCGCTTGGTCTAAGGACCAGAGCTTATTGGAGCTTTCTGCTGGCTGAGCAAACAAAAAGCTCTCCTGTGCGCCGTGGGATTAAGAGTCCGTCAGCGTGCTCACCTTGAAGGCCCTGGAACAAGGAACAAATCGGTCCGACGTGAACCAGCGTATGGGCAAGGCCTGCAGCGGATCTTTACTCCATCGGTGTTTAGTCACGTTTCGATTTGTAACCAGCAGGAGACTCTTTTGTGAATGCGAACGTAGCCTTGCAGGTTGATCATGCGCTAAGTGGTTGTGCGAGGGGTGGTGGATGTTTTGAGGGCCAAACACGAACATGTTCCAGTTGAATGCCTGCCTGAATTATGAACATTTTGAGGCGTGCATGGGTGGCCCCACAAACACGGATGCGGGGGTATGGACGTACTCCATGTGCCAATATGTGCCGATGGCCTCTGAGATGCTGTTTCAGCTCGTACGAATGGTTGCACGGGAGCTTCGCGAAAACATTCAACGGTTTCCTCTGGGTTCCTTTGCCAAATTCTACCTTGGTGCCCGGGTTGCTGGAGAACTCGAGGATTGTCAAATCTGGTTCCTGGCTGTGGGCACCTTCTCAGATTATTGGGCTCGGGCCGGTTATCCGCATCAGGGAATTCCCTGGTTCAAGTCCCTGAGAGTATGTCGAAGTTGCCCGACCTAAGGTATCCGACCAGTCACGTAACAATGCCTCCTGCCAGTGTCTTGCAGTCGTGCCGATCATTGTGTTTGCGGAGGAGTTGCGTAGGCGTGCCTTTTAGTCCAGAAGTGTGCATGAGAGGTCAACCTAGCCCAGGTCGAAACCTCGCCGGCTGTCCAAGCACCAAATGATGGCTTCGGGAGCGCTCAAAAAGGTGAGCAGGGATGGCAGGGAAGACATCTCTCCGAGAATGCCTCTCAGCCAGCTTGCCCGAGAATTAAACCTTCCTGCTGACCCCTTCAATGCAGACATCCACACCCGATGTAGAAACCACACCCCGCAAGGGCCCTTGACACGGACGGTGAGAACCTTGGCTTTGCCATAGTTTCTCCATTGATGTTGATGCATTCTGATATGCACAGGTGTCAGGGAATTATCCACAAATCCATTTGCCCCCATAGAGATAAGCTTCTATGTGCAAACCCGGCAGATGTTTTGACCAGCCGTCAGCAAAGACGGGGCGGGGGGTGCGAATTCAATGGTGACGAGCCTAGCCCTTGGCCTAATTTTGTGCCATGCCGAGGCCGTGAGTCTGGCCAGCTTGATCAGACTCAAAGTGCGTACGTCGAGTCCTCTGGCCATGGTGCGGCAAGAGCCTTGCGAAACGGTATTCCTTTTTGTTGGAATTGCTGTTTGCTTTGGTGCTGCTTGGGCCAAAGGCTTTTTGTTTGGGTGTGCTTCATTCAGTGGTTTGGCGGCGGCCAGCCCTGAGTGCGGCACTTGCTTTTTGAGGTCTTTCAGGGGGGGGCTACTCCATCGATCGGATCAGAGCAAGTTTGGTGTGGGAACCCACTGCACAAGTGGAAGCCGAGCTGACTTGGCAACAGGCTTCGCCAAGCGCCTGGCCTTCAGCGCGCGAAGGAAGTGTTGGACCTTTGAGGGTCGTAAGCGAATCAACATAGAGCAGGTTCCGGGGGGGGACTCAGTTTGTTTGTGAACCTGTGTGCCTGCCACCGAATGCCACCGTTTAGGAACGGCAAGACGATGCGGCCATGCCCTTGGGCCAGCGATATGCCGGAGGCTTTCGTGTGTTGCTGTGCTTGAAGTTTCTTCGACCCCTCCCCCGCTGCGTTCCTGGGCGCCTTCCTCCCACTTCCACCACCCGGGGGCGGAGGGGCTTTTGGGCAAAAGCTGAGCTGACCTTGGATATCTATAAGCTAGAGATCAGTGCTCCTTTGGAGCAAGAGGCGAACTCACACCGCTTGCTACGGAAAACCCGCTGTGGCTCGAGCCCGCAGTCGACGTTGCCGCGTGAGGTTTTAGCCCGCTTTGGCAGCAAGCAAAAGGGAAGCAGCAATCTGCGAGGATAATTTGTATGACTATGCGGCCGCAATTTGTGTCATACTTGACTTATCTATACACAACTAATTATCTTTCGCAATGGGTACTTGATCTTTTCCACCGCATCGCAATCACATTCGCCAAGCTTGGTGAAGCCAATGCAATGGCGACCCGGGCTCTCATCGATGCGAGCATCGAGCCCCGGCGGATTGCCCAATCCCCAACTTGCGCTACATACGATAAAGCCAAGGGGGAACGAGATGGAACGAGTGTTCGGGGAGGTGTTGGAATAGCCATAGCCTTAGGAAATAAGCAACCCAAAGGATTCCACAGGACGGATGAATGTGCTAATTGACATGAGCCCCTGGGAAGCATCAAGCTGACAGGTTTCTAGCCTGGGTAGACTATGCTGGGGCATTTTCCACTGTTCAGTGGAAGCTCCGATCTGGAACTGCGAAGGCTTCTCTGAACATGCACATGAACGACTGTCGCGTTGTGGTTTTTGCGGCAGGTTCGCCAACAAAAAGAACAAGTTTCGACTTTGTTGCCCGGACCCCTGGCCATTTGGCACTTGAACCAACTCACCAGAAGGTGCGTTTCTTTCTGCCTCCTTCTCACATCCCCCCCAAAAAACATGGAGGGTTGCGTGTTGCAAAAAGTGGTTACCCATGCACGCCCGGTTGTGGGCCTAGGACTCTTTCTGGTCGGCCCCGTCTGGCCCCGCCCGGCCGCCTACACGTCGACTCGACGGTTCGCAGGAATTGCGCCCCTCCCGTCGCAGTCGTTCCTTTGGGCAACTTGATTTTGGCCCAGCTCAAGCACTCATGTACCATTGGCATGTGCTTCTGGGTGTTCGCCGAGCACTCAGAAACCCAGTCTTGTTCTCTTGGCAAAGCATGTCAACTACTTGTATGGCTTATTTAATTGTCATGTTTGCCTTCAACTGCCCAGGCATCCAATGGATTCGCTACCAGGCCTCTAGAAAGAAGGCCAAAACAAGGCGTCAGGGTACCATAGTTGTATTTGCTTGGGGGTCTGGCCTGGCCTGTGAAGAAACCTTTGATTGTTTACCCCACACCTGGCAAAACCTTTCTGGGGCCCATCTCGGCGGGTGACTCAAACAGCGCCATTTTGTGCCACCTTGATTTGTCTTACTGGGGAGGAGGTTCAAAGTTTAGAGAAGACATGTGGCTATGAGTTTTCATTGGCGGACGTGCATCATCATATGTGTTGCTGTGAAAGGCGAAAAGGGAGAACACTGGGCCACAGAAAAGCCGAAGCCATTGGGGGGAATTGCCCCACCTCGTGGCAAGGTCTTCGGGCCGTATTGCGATTCCCACAGCCAAGCTGTTGTCCCAATCCCCCCCCACATTTCCACAAAAGAAGCTTTTGGAGAAACAGAGGATCGAGAAAACGGGCATTCGCTTCAATTACGACTGGATTCCGCCCGAGCTTCCTCTTGTTGGCCTCTTTGTTCATTGCTCGTTAGGTGTTTTTTGGAGCCACTGATTCGCCGCAAAACCGTGTGTAGGCCCCTAGGCCCCTTGGCTCTCCAAAGGCCTTAGCAAGTGAGGGGGAAGCATGGGGAAGCTTCAATTCCTTTTTTTTGGACGGACGCTGAAAGGTGGGCTGCACTTGGGGAACCCATCTTCTGTATCAAGGGGTGGCATCCGCTCGAGGTGAAGCCTAGAAAGAGTGCCATCCCCAAGCTCCCGCAGACCTTGGCACAGAGCGACTCAGCAGAACTTTGCTGTTTTGCTCCATTGTCCCCTGTTTGTTTATTTCAGTCAGTCAATGTATGTTTGTCTGTCTGTTTGTTTGGTTTTCTTTCTTTCTTTCTTTCTTTCTTTCAGTGCTTCCTTGTTGTTTGGTGAGTTGTCCTTCTTCCTGTGAAGTTCCCTCCCTGTCAACCCTTAGTGAGCCGGCATCGCGCTTACGCGGACGCTAGCTTCCGGTTGCCTCCCCTAGCCTCAAGTTATCCCGAGCTTTCAAGGATTGGAAGCGTGACAACACGAATGGCCTGGAAAGGCATCGGCACCCCATGTTATTCATCTAACGGTCTGATCAGTCTCCAAACATTTGCTTGGTTTTGGGCGTGGTCGTTACGGATAGGTGACCGGTTGCGCAAGCAAGTTCTTGTTGACTTGTTTGCTGTGCCAGAGCTTCTGCGAAAGCAATGGCATTTGTGCTGGGCCGTCACCACTGCGTCGGTCCAAAGATGCGAAGCCAGCCAGGTTTAGAGTGGGAGGCTCCCAGTTAGGGTGGAACCTTGTGGCGGGATAAACGTGTTTGCCGTGACTCGATTACAAGGGTTGTAAACCCAGTGTCTGGGCTTTACAAATAGTTTATAACCCCCCCTTGAAGACCCCCCTCCTCGATGTGAGGTCGGGTCAAATCCTCCTCCCTGGGCCCGAGAGGGCAGCTGGAGGCGGAGGAGTGGCCTGGCAGCAAACTGATGCCCGTGTGACACTGGACATGTACTGCTTTCTAGGCCGCATACAGATACATTTCATGCATTCATGATACATTACATTTTATGTATATGCATATATGTATATGTTATGTAGCCTGCATGGTATGTTCAAGCCCTGTTCCAATGGGCAACTGGTTTAAGCGTAACCTATATACGCAATTTCCCCAGGAAGCCAAGAGGGGATTTATGACTGTCCCGCTAGTTCAAGGGGCCATGGAGAAAACCCTGGTCCGCAAGCGGGTCGCATCGCGATGTGCTTCCAGCACTTCCCAATGTGCCGGACTTGCCACCCTTGGCACAGTCCGGAGCAAAGTGGGGACTTTGGTGACATTTCGGTTTTATAGCATCTGTGTTTTGACCATGTTAAAAGGTGAGTGAGTGAGGGGTCATTGTTCGAAATAATTAGGGGTCACCATTGTGGCTCTTCGACTCAGGCACCGGAAGAATGGGGTGGGGCTTCGACGTTGATGCCCCGCTTGGCTTATCTTCAATTTTTCTTAGTTGTCCATATTCACCCAGTTACCTCTTGGAGAGTGCGAACCAGCGGTGAAAGCGTGCAGCACATGGCGCATTCCACAGCTGGGGGTCTACAGTATAAGACGGGGCGTGTCTTTGTAGGCTGCCAATGATGTGTCTGGAGCCTTTGGGCAACCGACCAGTCATGGTACCCCAAGCCTTTAAGGGCAACCCCGGCTTATTGAGGCCTTGAGGGATTTTTTGAGAATTGGGGGGCTTTCCTTTTTGTTGGGGAGACGAGGAATCCAGTGCCACTTTCATGGGGTGTTCAAGGTGGGGTGGTTTCCAGTCAGTGCCACATTCAACGAATTGCTATGGCCATGATTGCCCGGGATTTGTGGGGATAGTTCTCTCAGAGGCCACCTGGTGGAACGGAGCCAGCCTGAGAGCGATACCAGGGCAGAATCTGGAGTGTTGGCTGTGCATCAAAGGGAGTCGCTGAAGTTGGCCTCTTTGCATGCGCAAGGCCCGAACCAACACCAGTTCGTGTCTAAAGACTTACAGATTGTCCCAGGTATTTCGAGGGCCCGCTCCTGACCAGCCCAACCCAACCCATTTTCCGTCAGGGCCATGGTTCACACAGGTTTCCTCCAGTCTTGCAGTCAGCCAGCTTCCCGAACCGGACCGAAGAAAACAGCTCCAAGATTTCATTCCCAGGTTCCGGAAGGTCCTGGTGGAACTGACGGGCCGGGAAGGCTACAACGCGGCGGCGGTGAACGGGAAGTGGCACTTCTGGAAGGCCGAAGCGAGTCGCGTACGACTGACTGTGCTTGGGAAACCTGCTAAACATTTTGGGAACATGGGGAAATGCAGGGGAGTATGGGTTGGATATTTTGGGGAAGCAGTACGAACACTATGGAGATATAGGGGGAAGTGCAGGGAGACAGGATCTTTTGGGAAATATGTGGAAAGGCAGGAGTGGTAAACCCAGCTTGCGCGGTTTGGGTCTAGAGGGCCGCAGCCGGTGGATGCCCACTGGAGGCTTAGAAGAAATGCTTGTCATTGTTGTGTCAAACAAGTTTGGACACTGCAGTTATTCTTCCTTTTCGAATACACCCACATCGTAAGGCGACCCCCTCCAAACCAACTCAATCCGAGGTGATCTCGAACATGGATCGACTTTCGAGCCCCCGTGAGCAGAAGGTTCCCTTCCAACCTTTTTCTGCGGCTGGGTGGCAGCATGTGCCATGAGGTCAAGTCGGGCCGGGTTGCCTTCCAGCGGGAGCTTTCGCTCGAGGCTGGGCGTTCGCTGAACTTTCACCAACCAAAGGATCTCATGTCAGAGCACCCTGGAAAGGTGGTGCTTGAAGCCATAGCCATAGAAGAGAGAGTTTGATGGATAACCTTGCAATTGTCATAAGCGCTAAACCGGGTGCCGGGGAGAGAGATGCCAGGGGAAACCCCAGCCTTCCCAAAGCCGACATCCTGAAGAATGTGCCACACCGGTTCGTAAATTGGCGCAATCCGGACATATGTGAAAGGGAATCCCGCTGGCTTTGCGTTGGACTTCAAAGGAAATGTCATGAGGTCACAATTTGATTCAACACATGAAGCCTTCTCTCCAAGTGCGAGGCATATTGAACCCATATTAGCACTGCCCCATCTCCACAGAGGCCCTAAGATGAACCTGTTCTTGCTTTATCGCAACCTGCGAAACACACAAGTAAGAGAGTAAAACACGGGAACGATGATGAACTTCCTGAGAAAGAACATTGGGAGATGGTCGGCCTCGAGAATTCGAGAGTTCCAAACTCACGCACTCTCCCGACTTCACCGGAACTCGCTGTTCAAGCCCACGGGGTCCCTTGGTTGGGGAGGACATTCAGTGGCCGGCCACTGAACGCGTGCTTTGCACCCTGGAAGCTGACAGAATACAGAAAGCAACCGTGAACCTAAAGCCTGTGCCCCCAATTCTGGCAATCCCGTGTTGCTGTTTGGCCCCCGGTATCATTTGGCTCTGCCAAAACGGGCCCCTTGACCATGCAGCTTGGCAGGACCCGCTCTCATATCTCGCAGTGATGCTTTCTGATCCGAAGAACATGGTTGAGGAGCACGCATCTTTTTGTTCACCACTTTTTGTGATACCTTTCGGGCGTGTTCGTAGCGCAGTTCTGGGAACGACAAACAAGTCGTGAAGTCCGGGATGAAACGGGAATTTACCCACATGGAGGACCTTTGCATTGTCCCTTTGTTTCCCTTCGTGAGTTATGACATCCATCCCCAAAGTTTTGGTTGGAATCCGCTGGCGCACGTTCCATGCGTCCTGAAAAAAGAAACTCGCTTCCGTGCGCAGGGAGCTGCTCCGGAGGCACGGAAGGGGCGCGCTTGGACTCGTGGGGACGGCGGGACCGCCCGTTTGGGGGAGACGGGGGTAGACACGAGGAGGGAAGGGGAGGCTGACGCTCACTGCAACTCCAAACGGGTTGGTCCCAGTGAAGGATCCACGCCCTTTTTTCCGAAGGAATTTCCGCTCAAAGGGGTATCCCCCACTCAATTGAAGTGCGCTGGAGACCTTGACCCCCAACTCCGCCCGATTCCAGGAGGATCCAAAAACCGGGTTCCTATGTGGCGCCTTTACAAGGATGAAGCCCTCCAAAGAGGGCTTGGTGCAGAATCCATTTCTCAAGGAGCCGCAAGGGATGGATTGTTTTCCACCCAGAAGGGTTGCTCAGTTTAGGGACCATTGGGGACCTTATGACTAGCTCTGTGGAATTCGCCAATCAGAACGTGGACAACGCCTCATTGGGGTGTCCAGCAAGAGATTTTGTTTGCTTGGGGACTGACTTCGACCTGATCAAACGAGGAAGTCGAACAGCAGTTGCAGGGCGTGCAGGATTTGTTGTTGGACTTCGGAGTAGTTTTCAGAGCGGTTCCAACCAATTTGGTTGCAACTGGCGTTTGTCTTGGCTAAGCCTGGACTACTTTTTGGATGGTGCAAGGGGACCCCCCCGAGCAGTTTTGGATCACCGGCGCCTCAGCTCGGTTGCGCTCCACGCCAGGGTGCGGTACCTTCGCTGCGGCTCTTCCTGCCGCCCGGAAACAGGTAACCGTCCGTGGCTTTTGTGCGCAAATTGGAGTCCGCGGTTTTGGGGCGAGGGCAGACGGAGTGCGAGTGAGATGCCTTGCTGTTCTTTAGACGGCTGTTCTTTAGCCAACGCTGCATCAGCAGATGCGGTTTTTTTCTGCCGACCTGCCGTTCAACTCACGGCAAAGGCCTCCATTGAAGCACGTTTTCCGGAACATCCAGGCCTCACGCTCTCCGAGCCGCACGCGCATGGGTCGGACTTTGCAGAGTTTCGGCCTAGCTGGTTTTCGGCCGAGTTTCCTCCGCCGCAAATCGACCTTCCAAAGATGTCCCTGGCAGAACCGTTTGTTGTTGGCATGTATGGCCTCCCCCTTGAAGACAATTACCCAAATGGCCACGGGCCCACACCAATGGCCCAAACAACTGCCCTTGTTCACTGAGGGTAAGGTAGGGTTTCTGGCAGCTTCGACTTGCTTAGTTCTCGCTGTTCTATTTTATCCTGGTTTCAGAGGGAGAGCGGCATGACTGAGGGTTTTGCGATCAAATTTCAACAAGCTAGATAGTGGATATGCCTCGCTTTGCAGGGATGAAGGGAGTTTGCAGCTTCCAGATGTTTCCGGTGATTCCGCCGTTGAAAGGGATGCTTTGTCTTTGCATGGAGTCGGAGTCCGGCTACAGTAGTTGATCGTTTCTCGCTTGTTCGCCTGCGGCTAAGGTTTTACGCATCTTGGCTGAAAGGCCTACGGGGGTCTGGATCTGCTCTGGCTCAGCTGTTTGGACCAGCTGATCAGTTCTTTGATATTTTTTTGTTTGTAGTCTAGGACGTTTGCTAATTGACAACACCCACTCTTCGAAAGTTACATGACATTTTGGTGAGAATGCACAGGATGTCCCCTTACAAGGTGAGGACGATTAAGGTCCGTAGTGTGTTTTTTCTCCAGTGTGTGCTTTCTTGGAGGCACAAGGCAAGTCATGCATCTTATTTATGGACTTGTTGTCAGTTCAAAGGGGGGAGTTTGGTGTTTTTGTGCTTCTGCTTGAGCATGAGTATTTTGTTTGCACTGATGCGTTCAAGAAGTGGTTGCTTCTTCCTTTAAATGGCAAGATTTGCCGAGAGAGAGCAGCGCTTGACTTTGTTTTCCCTTTTGGGAAGTCGAGCTTAATGGTTGGGGAACCAAGCGGAGGTTCAGGAAGTGACTCAAAAGTGAGCCTGGCTGTTTCCTGCTGCAGCCATTTCTTCTCCCGACTGTGGTTGGAAGAAGGTCAACCGTCTGGCACTTAGCCCAGCCACGGTTTGCCAGTCCACCCCCCAGCTTAAGGGAAGACATTGAGGGAATCCCCTTCAAAGCATGAAGCCCCAGCAAAGGCGGCAAAGGCCGGCCAATCTCAAGCTCCCCTCCGCAAGCCGCATGGGGCTATCAGCATGTGCCACGAGGGCAGCCTCCTGGGCACCAGGCGCACCTTGTGTAGTACAAGGCACAGGCATTCTGTGACGGATCCGCTGGGCACATTAATGTTGTTGCGACGCTTTTCCTTGGGTGCCTTAAAAGAAAGGCGCTATTGCACAGCTACGTGATGGTTTATATGTTTTTAGACCTCACCCAGGGTCTTCAAGATGAGCCTAGGCGATGAACCTGGAGTTGGATAAACTGTGTGTTAGTGGGGATGGAGATTGTTGCTTCAATTTGTTCTCTGAAAGAGTCAGACATCTTGAATCATTCTTGTTGCCAGATGGCCAGCATGGCTCCCGAGGTGCCACAGACGGACACTTGGATCATCAGCGACGCGCCGGACGCCTCTGGATCGGTGGTGGCTGATTGCGGCCCAGTGCTGGGAGGCGACCTTGGCACGTGGGGGAACTTGAGGGAACCCGAGCCGCGCAAAACCCCGCCTTTTCCAATCCCCCAAATGCAGGGGGAAGCATGTCCTTTCTGAACGTTGCCTCAAATGACTATATGGCTTGTTTGTCCATTTGTTGCCATGTCGCGTTTTTTTTTTAGAAACCCTGTTTTACTTCCAATCAGACCAATCACAGGGTAGCTCGGATAAGGCAAGCGTCGACCAACCTTCTCCGCTTGAAATCCTTCTCTCATATCGCTAACCACGAGCTGCTCATGAAGCCAAACCCCGCCATGAGTGGCGGGCTGCAGCTGACACGCTTTGACATCAACCACATGGGCTGCCTCGTGTTGCTTCGTTTGCTTGCTTCGTTTGCTTGCTTGGCTTGCTTGCTTGCCTGCTTGAGTAAAGATGGTTGGTTTGCGCGTGCTTGTGGCTATCCATGGTTGTATGCTGAATTGTCTATCTGTCCATCTGTCCATCCGCGTGTCCATTTGTCAAGCCGTGTTTGTCAGTGTGTATGTTTGCCTGGTTCCTGAGAGTCGGTTGTTTTGCGTTTTTTGTTTGTTTGTTTGTCTGCTTGCTTGCTTGTTTCTTTGCTTGCTTGCGAGTTTGTGTTTGTGCATGATGGTTCTTGTACGTGTCTGTGTTCAAGGAGTTGTTGCCTGCTTGCTCGCATGGCTGCCCGCTTGGCTGCTTGCCTTGCTGCTTGCCAGCTAGCCGCCTATCCAGCTTGCTTTGCTGATTGCTTGTGGGCTTCTGCTGCGTGTGTTTGTTGTGAGTTTGTTTGTTTGCTTGTCCGTTTGCTGGTTGGGTTGAGTGAGTTGTTCGATGCGTTGTTGCTTTCTTGCTTGTTCGATTGTGGGTTTGCTTGTTGTCCCTGTCCAAAGGCACGCCTTTCCAAGGTCTCCATGCTTCCTCGGGCAAGGTATGTTGTGTTCGTCATTCCAGGCACCGATCTGCAGCAGAGCTGGCGGGTTTGGGACGGCGACGGATGGAAGGAGGAGACGGGAGTTGAGCCGAGCCGATGTTCAACGGAGCAGACAAAGCACCGGTAGATGGTTGATTTGTTTCTTCCTCTTTTTTTTCGCGGTTTGGGTGCTGATGCCTCTTGAATGGCTGAAGAGCATGTTTGTTGGAAATGACCCGTCCCCTCCTCGGAGACCAGCTAGACATGAATCACACCCGTGACTGGATATTCTGGGGATATCATCAGAGTTATTGTTCCAAGGTTCTTTGTTGCGCTGAAGCCAAAGCTTCCGTTGAGAGTGACTTTTCGCTGAAAAACGGCCAAAAGAAGCCGTGATTCAATGGCCCATGCTTCGGATCAGTGCGCAGGATCTGAACATCTCGGTGGAGTTGAGCGTGCCGGAGTCCATGTCGCTCTCGGGCCCGGAAACTCGGGGAGTGACATCAAGCGGGGGGGGCTGTTCGGAGGGGAACCTCCCAGTTGCAACAGACACGTAGTGTTTGTTGCTGACATGCTAGGGATTTGGACATGATTCTGCGTCCTTTCCGACGTCAGCGTTGATTTGCGGGTAACACCACCTCTTTCCAAGGCAAGTCGAAGTGTTGAGTTTGCATACTTGAGAAATAGAGCGGGCCGAACAGAGTTTTGCATGAACGAGCCCAGGGGCGGAGTGGATCATAGCTCTGCTTCTTTGTGCTAACAGGTGCCCATGGTTGATGCTTGAGGTTTTCTGGACGTGAGGGCTCCATGGGCAACATGAGGCACTGGGGGTGAGATGTTGGGCGCATTGGATTGTTACTCTTTGGTTGGAATTGTTTGGACCAGGAGCATGGCCAAATGACCAGCGCAAGCACTTTTTTTTTTTTCACCAGGAGCCGTAGCAGGAGATTCCTAAACTGCTTGCGGACCCTGTTTATGGCTGTTTCCTTCAGCGAGCCTGAAAACCCCATAAGGACGGCCTCCCCCAATTGCCACCTGCACCTTCATTTGAACACTTATTTTTGCTCGATGTGGTTTGTCACACTGAAGAAGTGACCGATTGACGCTGCAGGCGGGTATCATTTTTATAATTTCTATCTTGTAGCCAGTGAGAACCATCGTTTTGGCGAGCCGACCGCGGGCTTGAGCTTTTCAGCTCACGCGGGAGCGTAAGCAATGGCCAGCGTGGAGACGATGGAGCCGTCCATGTCCAAGGCGGGACCCAAAAAAGGCCCGACTTGGACATCTTCTTGACGGCTATTGGGTTGGATCTTTAGACTTTAACTTTTTGGGAAATCATGGGGTTTTCCACTAAACCCACCTAAAGTTAAACTTTGTGCAGAGGGGTCAACAGCAACAAAGTCTTCAAACATGAAATGAACGGATCACGAGTGGAATTCAACAGGTTGATAGGCAACCCTTTCGCTGGCTGCTCGCTGAAGGCGAGCATTGTGCAAAATGGGACTTGGGCAACCGTCCGTGAGGGGGGGGGGGCAGATTCGTGGAGGCATTTCCCACAAAAAAGTCCAAGGTTCGGGGCCCTTTGACAGTGTGTAGGAGTCGACCTACTTCAAACTGCCAGGTTGTGAAATCCTTGGAGAACAAGATGGAGCTGTTGCTGGCGCAGCGGCTCGAATCCATGGAGGTCTTCTCAGAAAGTCAAGGGACCGGGCCGTCCTTGGATCTGAAGATAGCTTCTTCGTTTTTGTTTTTTGTTTGGGGGGGTGGGGTGGAGTGGTGGTGCCTGTCAACACCAATTTTCAATTGAAATGGATTTCGCACCAGTAAGTTGAAGGTAGGGCCCTTCCAAATGACAAGGCTGTCGGGCTTGTTTCAATCCGGTCCTTGATGGCGTTTCTTGCTGTTTGTGTTTGGGTAGGACAGTGTAGGGTTGAACCAGGTTGGCCTTTTCTATTTATTTACGTCCTTGGGGCATGTGAACAGTTCACGTCAAGGTCGCAGATGGGCTTAAACCAGGTATATGAAGCGACTCAAAAAGTCTCCCGTTTTGACGGCTGCCAACTGGTCCTCAGGTTCCAAGCATTCACCCAGACGCAGGAAACCCAGCATGAGGAGGCGCTCGGGACTGGAAAGGCGGTCGCCCGGTTTGGATTGTGGAGGCCACTTGCTGACTGCATCATGACACGTTGACGCCTGAGTTGGCTTCCAGGTGTACGGTTAACTACCTGTCTACTGCAATTTTGGAAGACGACAAGCAGCTTTTCACAGGATTATGTTTGCTCATTCTAACCTGCAATTCAACTGCGTCACCAAGACTTTGGAGGGGTGTTGACTTTGCTGGCTTCCTTCTCGTAGCTCATGAGCCTTCTTGGAAAACATGGGGAACCCTGGCCTCACGGATTCCATGACGGAAGGTTCATATATCTCAGCGAGCCGGCAGGTGCTGCTCCTGATCAAAGGGCCCAGGTTCTCGAGGCCGGGTGCTGAGCGGCTTCAGGGTGAAACGTCTCAGATGGCCCCCAAGTCATGAACTCAAGGAAATGGCGTCGGTGTCTGAAGTTTAACCCTTGTAAAGCTGCAACATGGACCCAAGTGGACAATCCTTCGGGTAATCCATCAAATTCCTGAAGCGGCAAACGCCCACGCCGGTTCCTCGCGTAGAGTTTCCCTAGCAGGGATCGATTCTGGAGCGTTGGACTGGCCCTTGGAACTCTGCCGAGTCACGCGAGCCGTTTCAAGCCGTTTAGCTACTCTTTGCCCTTGGCGCGCGAGGGGTCTTAACCCCCCCCAGGTTTGAACCAATGGGAGTCATCGCATCCTGGACAACCAACAAAACGGAATGGTTGAGACCGCCAAGGGCTAAGGGTATCCACTTGCCACCAACTAGGGTTTTGATCCGGGTAACAGTTGCTTTTGCACAGCTGGGATATACGCAAGCTTACCCTGATTGGCAAACCCCCGCCCCTTCAATGTACAAGGTCAAAGTTTTGGGGCTTCCTGGAGGGACCCCCCCCGCAATAACTTGAGGTCTGAAGGGACTTGATGCTTGAGGATTGTCATGGATTCGACGGATTTTCGGATATGTGAAGAAGTCCTTGGTTTGGCGGCCATGTTATATATATATAATATGTTTGCCATTTGTTTGCTGCGCTGTTGCGTCTTTCTTCTGAAATCCGAAAGAGATTGTCCTATCTCCAAACAAGATCTGTTCAAAGCAGCTTGCACATGTGGGTCGCTGCAGGGGGGCTGGGGACCCCCTGATTAATCAGGGAAGGTTTTAGTTCTTAGGAGAGCGGCCCTTCAAGGGGGTAGTTAGCTTTTATGCCCTTGATTCTTCGTTTTTGGAAACAATGATATAAACAAAAATCGTTGGTTTGGTGGCCCAGGTTCTTGTGGAAACCAGGAATGTTTGGCGGCAAGCTGGGGTTATTTAAAGTTTGAGCCCTTTCAAAAGAAAAAGCCAGCCTGGTTGTTTTGGCAGGGGGGTGGCAGGAGGAGCCTTTCATCGTTTGTTTTTGAAACCCCTGTTGATGGTCCTTTAGTTTGGTATCGGTGTCAACTTGGGGCGGGCAGGGGAAACCTTTAATCGGGGTGAGGGGGCGGTCTACTGTGGTTGGTTTGAGTTTGAGGTGCGGGCTTGTTTCCCATTGCTTGGCACCCCCCATGGCAATGACAAGGCCAACTTTCTGGGGGGCCCTTCCCTCCAATAATTTTCGAGCCACTATGATCCAATTCCGAGGCTCAGCAAGTCCAGCAGAGAATCCGGGCAGGCGTTCGTGCCTTGGATACGTTCCCGCCGCGCTTCGCGGCGGCCAAAGCAACAAGACATCCCCCCAGCTTAGATATTGGAGGGGGCCTGGCGAGGTTGTGGCCGGCTTTTGCTCGATGGATCGCATGCCGCCTTTGGTGGTTAGCCAAGTTGGGCGAAGCAATATGAGGCACTAACTCACCACATGACAACAGACTGTGCGCGTCGCTCAGGCAACGGTCGTTTGCAATAGCAGCCACGATGTGCTGCGCAGTGACGAGGAGGTAAACGCCAAGAAGTCTTTGAAAGTGCCACCGCCACTGTGGGGAAGGCTGGGGTGAGCACAGCATCTTGCAGACTGAGTGCTGCTTCAGGTCACTTCGACCCTCGCAGTTTTGAAAACTTTGCAAGCTGCAGTTTGGGAAATGGTCCCTTTCGAGAGCGCAACTGTGGTTTGCAAATGTTCGCGGGAGTTCAATTGAGCTCCATGAATCTCAGCGCAACCTGTATCAACCAGAAGCCCCCGTCAATGAAAAATGGGTGCCAGCATGGGCGTGGGATGCAGCAACTCCGGATTCAGGACCTTTGCGTTGCCCCTTCTTCTTTGGTTTACGGGACTCAACCCCACTCCTTAGCCACTGACAAGCCTTCACTAGCATGGCACCCGACAATGCGCTGCGCACCCTCTCAATTCCCGACACCCAAAAAAAGGACCCCAAATCCCAGAGGCGAACCGCGCCCATGAGGGGCTCATAACTGAAGACCACATGTCAAACCTCAGCAGAAAGTAACGGGCCACAGCTTTCCTAAGCTTTACAGGTCTTTGCAGAAATGTGAAGGCAACCACAAGGTTTGCATGATTGTTTGTCATTTGTTCTGGTTTTTTCATGTTTTTCCCTTTGACACCCTCACCTATTATTGGCTTCAATCGTTGGACATCTTAACCCCTGAAGGTGAACAGCTGTGACCCCCATGTTGTGAAATGGCCCCGGTGTTTGCCATGCACAATGTGAGACTGGAATGTGACCGTGATGAATGTTCATCCAATGGGTAGGGACGTGGCAGACGTTTTGCAGTTTAGAAGGTGCAAAGGGCGACCTTTAGGACGCATGATTTACGGTTGGTTGAGCCGATCTTGAGAAACATGTGGTCGACATGCTATTTGCACAGACCATTGACATGCCAGCAATGTTCGAGTTGCTTCTCGCACGTTCGGGGGGAAGGGGGGACCACCAAATTTTATCCGCTGTGCCAAGGATAGAACATGAGTACTGCAGAGATGAGATTGTTGTAAACCAACCGCCTTTGCTGCTTATGCAGGTACCTCAAAGACACTGACACCGGGGCCCCGCATCCCATTTCCCCGAAGATGGCTGCCCGCAACTGCTGCAGAGGATTCCACGCCCCGTGTGTGCTTTCGCTCCAGGAATGCCCCGCTTGCAGGATGAACAGTGCTCTCAGCCGCGCGGAGAATGACATCTCTGGCTGGGTGGGAGAGGTGAAGAACCGCCAAGACATGGAGCCCCTTGGCTTGCCGAGCCGGGAAGTTCTGAAGATGGACAACCGCATTCCGGAAGGGCCCTACGTGTTGCTCACACTAAATGATGTTTTATGGATTTGTGTCTGGTTTCCCCTTGGAACAAACGATGTTCAGACCCCACGTTGAACGCCCAGCCCCGGACACGAGGTCGAAGAAGAGCGCCAAGGTGAAAGATGTTGCGTCCGAGCGCCTTGGCCCAGGGGGTCTCCTCCAGGTTTGGGGTAGCGTTGGGCTTGGGCCAAGGGAGCACCCACATGGAAGTGGACAGGTCTCCTAGCTTTCCAAACATTTCGACTTTCCTTGCAGAGAAGGCTGTGCAGCTGACTTGGAGGCTAACCCATTTGTGTCCATCGACGCGAGTCTTTGAGTTGCAGCAATTCAAAAGGTATGCGCCTGGCCTTGGCCTGCTCATGTGGGACTTTCTCGGACGGGACATGCGGCATGCCAAGTTGCCCCCATAATTTCTTCCCCTTAGAACCTTAAAGAAAACCAGCAGTGGATTGCTTGTGAACTTATGTTTCTTCGAGTGTCCCTTTCAAGGAAGAGCTCAGAGCTACCTGGCCCCATCGCAACGAGATTACCGATGCGGGTCAAGCGGAGGGGGGGGTCAAAAAGATGGCCTGCCTCTTGCACCTTATCGCGGAGAAGGAGAAAGTTTAAGTTCCAGCCAGCGCTGGTTGACCAACATTGAAAGGCTTTTTCTGCAACCCATTGATTCAAACCCTAAACCCGCCAGGGCATCTTGGGAAGCCCCTGCTCCAGACTGCGCGCCGTGTCACTGGGCCGGGTGTCGAACGGGGCTTTACATGTTCACGTCTATCCTATGGAGGTGCCACTGGTTTTGGGTTACTGGGAGGACTACGTGAAATTTGAACCTGCTATGTTGGCAACCTTTCCTGGGCACTTGGAAAGCCCGTACCGGAACATTGTTGACTCTGGGGCTCGCGGTCTTCCCGTCAGGTTCAGACACACGATAAGCGTCGTGCCCAGCGTCCTCGACATGCAGGCTCCTTCCTGTAGTTGATGGTCTTGGACACGTTGCGGCGCGCGACAGGGAGTGTTTCAAAGCACTATTTTGCATTTGACGGCTATGTTTGCAAGGGCGGTACTTCTTACAAGTCTTTCATCCGATCCCGATCGACGATCCATTGCATGCATTGGCCACTTAGCGGTAATGATCTAGTTGGAGAGCCTGCCCAGGAGTGCCTTGCAAGGGGAACTGGACGACAGAATCCAGAAAACATACCCAAAGTCAAAGACGAGTAACGCTGCGGTGGGCGTTACATCATGCCCAATGCGATTGCGCCTTGAACGGATAAAGCGCACTTTGCCACTTTGCAAAGGCAGAGCAGCCCAGTTAAACGGCGTGGACTTGTGTCAAGTTTCTTTGCTTGCTCTGTTGGCGTTGTCCGATTCTCAGTGAACAACGCCAGCATGAAATTGACAGAATATGTGAATAGAACAGGGGCCATCATCATAAAATGAGCAACATACAACCATCGTTGCCATTTGGCTCAAGCACATGCCACTTTTCACAACATTCATTGTGATTTGTTGCAGCCATAGATATAAACAGATCGAGCTTACGGAGAGAGTGCCGATTCGAGGATATTCGAACCCTCGCACTCTTACCGAGGAACAACACACCTTGTGTTGTAGTTTCTCAGGCTATCAGCCGTAGGGCTTGTCCCACGTTCTGTGAGACAAGATTGATTCGAAGCGAGAGGTCGTGAACCCCGCTTCATATTGAATCGATCGATTTATTTTTAACTCACATTGCCAAGTGGTGCAATACTTGCGTGAGACAGTGTCCGATGGTAGATCTTCGATTACATTCGCGGCACCTGCTGCCGGCGCAGCCTCACTCATTTGTGCTTCCGCTTTTTCTTGGGCTTTCCGCAACTCATCATCGAGTTGTTGGTCCGCATTTCTGGGGTCACTTGGGGAACCCCTTGGGGAGGATGACTTTTCTCCCTTACGAGATTTACGGATTTGTTTCCGCCCATCGTCCTCATTTGAAGGTGACGGTGCTCTCGACCGGGAAGAAGCCTTGCTCCCATGGTTTGATCAACGCCGGCATCCCTCTGCTGGCTTACTGCCACAGGACAACGATAGCATCCCCAGTCCCATGGCCGGCTGATTCCGGTGTTCCTTGAGATGAAATTCCAGCTTGATGAGAGCAATGCATTGAAGAAGGATTGTGCAGCGTTGCGGTCAGCCGTAGCCAGACTGGAACCCGATGAGGCGGAAAGCCTGCAGAGGATCCTGGGGCTTGAGAGAATGAACCATGCCCTTGAATCCCAAGTTGCTCATGTTCATGGTAGAACGAGAGATGAATACAACTTGGCGATTGATCAGTTGGACGTCAAGTCAAACAGACTGAGTGAAGTTGAAACAGTAGCTCATGACTTCAACAGTGAAAATCGCATGATGCGAGTTGAGAACAGAAATGTGCCATAGCAACATTGTTACTAACAAGGATGGACAGATCCAAACCTGAAGGGATCAGATTCAACACTTGTCCGGAAATGAATCAAGGGAAGAATGGTTCCGATCTGCTGAAAAGCTGGCCGATCAAAGAGCTGAGGCTATCAAGCTTCAGATCGCCAGTGAGGCAAGGACACAACTTAATGATGTGGAAAGTCGAGGCAAGTTGGAAGTTGATCGTGTGAGGGATCATTTGAACCGAGAGGAGGTGGCAGCTTCGAATCTGAAGAATGAGTTGTCTGAAGCCAGAAAGGAGGGTCACATCATGCCGGTCTCTACCAAAATGGCGGAAGAACAAGCTGAACTGATTAAGAAGAACATGAAATGGGTCGAGAATATGGCCCAGACTCAGAACAGCGCCCTTCAGAAACAATATGAGTCTATGCGGCAGTTCAATGACAGTCTTCATGAGAAAGCAGGGGAAACCTGAAGTTCGAGTATTTGGCCGCTAGGGACGGCGAGGGAAAAGCGGAGGGCGAAGCTAGGGAGGCATTGGTTAAGGCCAGGAAAGCTGAGTCCATTGCACAGACTCGTGATGAAGAGTCAGAACAGCTGAAACCACAGGAATGAGGTACAGGAGGAGCTTGACGGGTTGACCGATCGGTATGATGAGCTAGTCAATGACCAATCCGTTGCGTTGCCAAAGTTTGGTGATGCGACCACGCCCAATGCAGGGACTGTGGCTTAAGGACTCGACAACTATCTTTCGGCCGGATGGGAAGCATGGATCTCCCTGTATGAGTTCTACTGTGCTCGCTTCAGCATTCTGGAGACGAGGAGTTTCATGTCCCCGTCATCCCTCATCATTCTCCTGCGCGCGGTCATTGAACCACGGCGGGAGACCATGATCAAGACAGCAAGGACGGAAGGACGGAGGCTGACGTGGCCGTGAACACACCGATTGGTGATTATTTCTTCCTTGTGACTGACCTGGTATTTTACACGAAGTCGAACAAAGGCACCGCGATGCCGGAAGGGATGAGCAAGAACGTGGGATGGAACGTGGGCAGCGTGATCTGTCCTGTCGATCAAGAACTTAATCCCCGAGGTGAACTTTTGATGCAGTTGACGAAGTGCAAGAATAGCATCAAGGGCGCAGTTGAATCCGTTCATCTGTGGATATCGTTGGTGGACGCCGTGGAGTGGAAGAACAAAGGTGGGGAGTACTATACCTGATCAAAAGCGGCATGGAGGATTATTTCAACCAATGCGCCGCGATCATCAACCTGATCCAAGAACAGACCCCACGACCCCATCCCGCCCATCAAACACAACACAACGCGGGCGTACAAGTTCCGTCGCTTGATTCACGCCCTGAGACTGTGTTATGCCTGTTGCGTTTGGTTTTTGTGATCCTGCACTTGCACGTGTTTGCATTTTTGTATTCTTTGTGGAGCATGCTTGCAACCCTGGTTTCCAGGTTTCTGTTTGCATATTGCCTGCCATCGTTTGTCTGCCTATGTCCGTAAAGACATCTCTGCCTTGCCAAGCGAGTTCTGATTTTCTCTTCTCTACACTAGCACCCTTTGCGGCATGTCCATTGCAGCAGAACTCTGTTGGGCGTACCAGCTGTTCCGCTGAGCAGGCCAATGGGTCGCCAGTCCTTGCTGTTGACCAATGGGTGCTCTTGAGTCTGCATCGTTGCGCCTCAAAGACAACTTCAGCCAAAGTCAAGTGCGGTGTGCTTCGATTTAAGAGCATGAAGATGATTCGACCGGAGCTCGACAGCACATAGTGCTGCACATGCACAACACCCCCAAACTTGTGAACACAAATGCCAAACAATACCCCAGCACCCCAAACACTTCAACAACTACGAAGAATGCCCCCGAGCAACTTGAAAGCAGGGTTCAGCTCTCGACCCCTTTTCCAGATCCTCGCTGGGGAAGTTTGTTTCTCCCCTGATTGTTGGATCAACTGATAACTGGCATGGATGCTTGAATGCGTTTTACAGAGACCTTGACACGAGCTGGCGAGCATATCTTGTGGCCTCCAGGCCACCCAAGGAATCCCACACCGCACAGGAATCCCGTCGAGTGTTTGGCGGACACAGGCAAACGAAGTCCTAGCCACGAGAATGTCTGTACTCTGGCCTATTCCCCCATGAAATGCTCTACTTAAGTTATATGATATTGTTGGGGATTTGAAGTTAAACATTGTTAAGTTTGATCTCAGAGACTTCATTTGCTAAATTACGATACTTTAATTCCCCCCCGCCTTACACATTCGGGCTCTCGCAGGCAGCCTTTGAGCACTGCGTGGCCTCCAACCGGAGCCCGAAGTCGGAGACCTTTGGCCGGAGAAATGGCAAGACCCACCGAACCGGAAGTGCTGCGGGGTAGCTTTTCTGCCAATGCGTTCCAGAAGGCCGGCCACTAGACAAGCCCTTTTTTCAGAACAGGATGGGACCGGGTCTTGCTTTTTGCTTCGTTCTTTACCTGTTGGAAAGAACACAGCCTCCCTACTCAAAGCCAGAACGCGCACTTGTTGCATCTTGTTGCAGGGGCCAAGCTTCAGACTTTCCCAATTTCACAATGTTTTGTTCTAGTTGGTTAGTTATCTGCCTCAATTGCCCAGCTGAAACTGAGCGATGGCCTGTTGTGCGGCAGGGCAGACAGCCCCTGGGCAAGCTTTGTTCATCATATTTACTAGCGGTCCAGCAAACTCAGCGGGTCTAAAAACGTCCCGAGCTTTTCGGGTAATGTCGTGGCACGGCCTTTGGTTGCAGCGCGACTTCATCCCAATCTCTTCACTTAAGCTTGTATTCAAAGCATGGCCATATCTCAGTGGGCAGAGCTTGTGCCACACCTCATGGCTTCGATTTAGTCGCATCGACTTGCCCGAGGTGTCAGCGCACCCCGGAGGACCCCAGGCGCCGAACAGCTGAGGGCTCCGAACGGTTTCCCTTCCGAGGCTTTGGGCCAACTTTAGCTGAGACGCCAGAGACACGTCGTGGGAAGACTTGCAGAGTTAAGATGTTCGTTTCGACGGATTCGAAGGGAGCCAGAGAAGCGGGGGAGGTCTTTGCTCGCGTTGAGTTGCGCCCGCAGGGGGCCAGGCAAAGGTGGCAAGAAAGATTAAGAGCAAACACCTGCTAGGGGCTTGCTGCCTTGATTTGGGGTCCTTTTCCCTTAGCTTCCAATACTGAGCAGTATTCGCAGTCAGGATCACCTCTTCTTCTTTGTGCGCAACTGTGGATGGACGAAGTCCTGCACCACTTTGTAACCCTGGGGAGCCACTAGCCATTGTTGGCATTTACGGGGGAATCATCATTCCAGGGTTTCATTAGGTGGTGGGAAATGGATTTCGTCCATCTTGTTGGGATGCACAAAGCCAGGCCCAGCCCTCCAGAAGAACCACAGCTTCCCCTGATCGGCAGCATACCTGCAACTGAGAAGATCAAGGCCGGACAAATGGAGCTACGGCACTGGAGCTCGGTCCCCTCTTTAGGGGTATGTTCAGTTCACACAACGCTTTTCTGAATTTCAGTGTCAACAACAACCATGAAACCCGAGAGGTAGCTACAGCTTTTTGCGCACCCCGCAGGCATTGCTTATGCCACATTTGCCAAGTTGAGTTGATGAGCGCCGTGAGCCCCGGCGCCCTCTGAAAACGTCCATTCAAGCGAAACAATTCGCAATGTGCGCTTGTGAAACTTGAAGTCGGTCAGGATCTTAGTTTCGTCAAGCATCCATGTTCTTTCCCTTCGGTTCTATGTTCTTTGCCTTCGGAATGTTTGAGCGACTTTCTTCGGGCCTGCGAACTGTCTCTTGCGTTGCCAGGACACCGACAGCCCTCGCCGCGACAGCTGTCGGTGCCGGGACACCACCGACAGCCCCCGGTGGCGAGAGGGGCAGGAGATAGAGAACATGATGAGCCTCAGTTCCTCGGTTGGAACCCCATCGAAGGGGCCCAAAGCAGACACAAAGGCAGCCGGTTTCAAGGCGCACGGGTTCGTCATTCAATTTCTGTCTTTTGGTGCTTTAGCCCGTGCCGCCACTTTCCTCAGGAACTCCCCTAGCGTATTCAAGCCCAAGGAGGACAACTCCAGGGCTCCCAAGCACGACCTTTCAGCTGGAAGCCCTCCGAATCATGAAATGATAACAGCTGCTGTTTGTTAAAAGAACAAACTCCTAAGGGACTCCTGGTTCAGAGTAGCAACTCTTGTAGACTTAGAGCATCCGCGTTTGGCTCCCTCCCTCCCCTCCCTCCCTATTTGCTCTGCATCACCCGTGCGATTTCTCGTTTTGCTTTGCTGAAAATTCTGCCCTCCCAACAGCCGCGAAACCAAGAATATCCAAGAATTCATGGTTGTTGAGCCCTGGACCGTTCAGATAGTGCCATGCCCTTCAATAACGACGCGCATGCCCACAAGGGGATACCCTCCATCTATCAATCAGCCAGTGTCCCCGAGGGAACCCTGGATGCCGAAGCTTGTGGAGTTTGATTTGATCCGGTCTTAAAAGAACTTGTCACCTGTTAGTTAACTTTGGAATTGTTGGAGTTGTGAATATTGCTGTTCCATGTTGCTGGTCGACTGGTGTGTTGGCTTGGCAATTAGTCAGGGGCCATCGCGGGCCATCTGTGCACACAGTTATAGGATATACCATGGCGGCACATATCCACACATCCAGGCTTATATAGATCAAGCTCAGTCCAAGCGCCACGCGTCATCATACCCCAGCGTTGCACCTTCAATGCGCGGCGTGGCGTTCTTGAAGCAAGGCGAACGCAGAGGTTTCGTCGCAATGACATCGGTGCGGCATGACTAGTCCACTACCCGACTCGCATCATCCCCGCATCCGAAGGCATCAGTACGCAAAGATACCACCAACCCCCCCAGATTGCCTGCAGCATGTGCAACCGGAATTCCAGTGCAGACATCTATCATACTGCAAGTGCACTATTTGGCGAAACATAAAAATACTGAGGGTAGACCCTGATCCTCCTCAGCATCAACCCTTTTCACCAATTGCAGCACACCCTCCAGGGCGCCCGATGCTCAGTCAGGAAGCTGGACCAAACGAAGCAACTCTTTGCACCTTTGACTTGGCTTTCCATGATTGCATGGTTGCTCGATTGGCCAGCTATGGCCAGCTCAGAGCAGTACTTGTATGCTTTTCTGTGCCAGCATTGGCTTCCAAGCCCGAGCGCATTTTGGGTGAGCCCATTGCGAGTCAGCAAGACACCTACCGGATTACTATGCCCCCAAAGCCCAAGTGTTCTTTGCAAGACAGCAGGAGGTGCCAGGATTGCTTTTCGCATTCGAGGTAAGAGATCCCACACCCACATCATGGACCTGTACAGCCAGCCCTACGAGTCGTCCACCGAGCCCCTAGACTGCGGAGTGTACCAGGACCTGGGCTGCCGTATCTCCGTGAATCTCCCTCGCTTTGCCCTTGGCGCCTTGGCAAGCAACCGATAAAAATCGCTTCCCAAAGCGAACCAGATTTGGCCTATTTCTGGTCAGGGGCTCCAACGGGTTAGCCCATCTTGGGCATCTCGAAACAGGACAGCGAACAAGAAGCAAGACCATGAACATGATGGTGATGCGAAACAGCTGTTCGATGCTTTTTGCATCTCATGCTTTGCCTGAAGGCATTTGCCTGAAGAAGCTTCAAAGCAATTTATTGGCATGTTTTGGCAACCTGGCGAAATTGTTGGCCCTTGTTCATGTCTGAACTGCTTCCTGAAATGCACCTTGGGGGCTCCTTCTCCGTTTAGACTTCATCCGCTTCAGGCCATTGCAACCGAAGCTAGGGACACATGGCGGACCACTGGACGGATGGCCGTACAAAGTTGCAAGTTCCTATCCTAGGTCCAGTGTCCCACCGAGCTGTGAGAAAGCTTGATCCCATATTCCGAGAACGGATGCAGTCAGTTCTTTCCACCGCCTTTCGGGCCGAGGTGTGCCTGTGCTCCTGGCGGCGCTGGCCACTTTTTTGCATCTCTACTGCTGGCCCTTGGGCTGTGCCTATGGGTCTGGGCACGCCTTCACCACGGATGCTTGGCCGAAAGGCGAAGCGGGAGAGGGAGCCCGGCCCAAACCAACACCCCTCGCGTTCTCACAGACCAAATCACCTTTGCACATTCAAAGGTCTGTATGAAAACAAATCCCGTTGTGGACCTTAAGGAAAACCAGCTCGAAATCGCATTGTGCTTCAGAAGGAGCATAGACGTAGATTGAGCAGTCAGTCCGTTCTGAATTCACTTCCCATGTTGCTCCTCTTTGACAATGTCAAGTTGAAGCCGAAAGGATGCCTCGACAAAAATAGGCCAACCAGCCAACATGGGCCATGGGTGTTCACGTAGGTGCCTATATGATCAAATCAGCTTTAAGTTTTGCCCCTTGAACCCCAGATAGCAAACATGTAGTGTTGCTAAGCCATGCCTTGAGTTCAGAATTGATCGGGCCCGCAAGGAGCGCACAGCTCGGCGAAAGGGGCAGAGACCAACGCCTCCAAGGCTTTTCTCCCAGTGGTTCGTGTGCGGTTCTTTGGTTCTTTGGTTCCGTCAGCTTGCGCTTGAGGTGTTTCTCTTTTTTGTTCTCCCCTGGTTTTGAACGAAAACCATGAGTGCATTCCCAAGCAAGAGATGGACCATTGCCCAGAGAACATCTCCAGTGCTTTACTGAGGTGGCGTCTGCAGTGTTTAGCCTCTTCGCGGTGGCGTGCCTCTACTTCCTGAGGCTGAATCTCATCAGCTCGACATATGGGGGGGGGGTCGTGTTTTTGAGGTACCTTTCGGGTTGGTGTCGTTTGATTGCAGAACGAAGACGCGTGTTTTGTGGGAGTCGGGCCCACTCATCGTACAAGGCCTTTCCAATATGCACGCTGGATTACACGTGGCGAGGGAAACAATGAGCCTCGCTTACTTTGGCTCATGGCCATTTAGTCACTGCCTAAGCCGAAGCCCGATGACCTGGTCCAGGTTTGGTTCATGTTTCAGGCTTTATTAACATGGTTGAGCCCAACGGTTGGTCGCTTGCAATCCTTTCAGGCCGCAAGCAAAGATCCAGCCAGGGTTGACCTGCCTGGCAACCAGATTTTCCTGGCTCGCGCACCTGGGCTCGCTTTTGAAACCATCACCTTCCAAAGAATTGGCTTTGAAGAGCCAGGTTTCTTCGAGAGGTCAATTCCCAAGGATCCAAAAGGTTCACAATCTTTAAGTCCATGTCCTTTCCGGAGAGCAAGACGATCCCTTTAGACGGAACTTGTTGGGGGCTGAGGGAAATGGATGTGAGACTCGACAGGCACGCCATCCTTTCGCCCGACATGGCTTTGGCAGTGAAAAAGCTACAGCTGTCACTTGGCTCGAATTGGTTCGGAAAGTTCGCCCGCACGGCACGCAGGTTGACAAAGGCGCTTGTTGGCTTAATTGGCGATTTGGGGCGCAGCTGGGAATTGTGGCTTGGGCGGTGCATGAAGTAGAAAGCGGAGACTCAACAATGTAATGAACACAAGAGCAAGAGTCCTTTTTGATTTTCCTGGCTCGAGTTCAAGGCACTTTCTGTGGATTCTGATTCATCGGGATTCCACGTGATTGCTCCTTCCTGCATGTTTGGTACTCCTTTAGTACCCTTTCAAGGGTGCCCTGGCAACGCCAGCAGTTTGCTGCCAGGTTTTTGGACAGCTTCACGACACCCTGGGCCAGGCGTTGCCGACAGGAGCAGCGCAGGACTCGGGGGAGGCCCAATGGCCGCCAACGCCACCTTGACACCGTTTGACACGGACCATGAACAGCCTTGATCGTGGTTCACGTTGTTTGTGGGTCTTCTGCTCATTTTTTAGTGCCTGGTTGCGAAAGTCGGTCAGTTCGCGAGATTTGGACGGCATCCGGAGGTCGGCGAGTCAAGCATGCATTCCCCTGCTACGGTGCATATCACTTGGTACAGTAGTTGCTTGCCTGCAGTTCGACCACATGTGGCCGTGCGGACATTGAGGGGAGAGGCTTCAAGTAGTTCCTCCCTGCATCACATTGCAACCGGCATGAGATAGGTAAGACTTTTGACTCCGTCAAGAAAGAGGGCCCTGAAACAACTGTAAAACATGTCCGGCAACAGGCAACCCGTCATACTCGATTGCTTGGACCTTGCCTTCCTAAGCAATCGTTTTGAGCGATACAGACACACGCAGACACACACACACACACAGAGACAAACAGAGACTCACAGAGACTCCCACGCACACACACACACAGACACATGGCCCGCTAGACACTGCCTCACATCTGCATTGTCCGAACTACATCCTTTGGCAGGGAGAACTCACAGGTTCTCTTCGTGAGGTTCTAGCATTGCCCCAAAAAGTTCCAACTAGTTGCTCCGGCAGCTTGAAGTAGCCCTAGAAGAAAAAGACAGACTTGAGACAAAGCGCTACACATTGAAATGGACTGCAGAGTAGCCTCACTGCCGCAAGACCTCACAAGCCGCCGAACTGGCGCAGACCAGCGCAGTACACCGCAGCTGAGTAAGTAGCAAGAATTTGCAATAAATGCGCGACCAAGTGGCAGCTCAATGCAATGCAGCTGTGGAAAACAGTAGCTGGGCGGCAGCGCGAAGACGTGTCGTGCAAAATAGTGCGGTTTCAGTCAGTCAAACACACCTTTGCATTGTGCCTCTTGAAACGTCTTGGGCTTTGTTTGCCACGCGCCAGCCACCAGATTCTTTGACGACTTGGCTCATGCCAGTTCACAGCTTCAGGGTGCGGGCAGGACCGCGCAGACATGCGCTGAGAACTCACCTTTAAGAAAATCAAGCGAATATCTCTTCACCAGCCCGTGGGTCGTTGGGTCATTGGGCCCTGAGACCCACGCCATGCGCTGATGACTTGTTTTTTGCTCCAGAAAACCAGCGCGCTGTGGGCCGGGTGTGCCGGTTCGCTCTGATTGAGGAGCGCTGATAAGTCTAAGGCGCCATAGGCGTTGCAGGGCATCTTGATGGCAGCTTCTTAGAGAACTTTGTGTATACAATGCGAAGACCTCACTTGAGGCAGCTGATATCTGGAAGCCGTAAAGCATCGTTGCAACAGCTGGTGTAGCTCGCCTTCAACTTGTGATCGTCGATTCCCAGAAGACAGGCCACGCACCCGGGAACTCGCGGGGGAAATCTGCACAGAGCCGCGCTCGAAGCTCGAGCCCGCGGACTTACAGGTTCGGAAGCAGCTAGATCTGTAACATCTCGGGGCTTTTGGGAGGCCACTGACGATTCGACTGACATCGATTGGCGACTTAGGGCTTGGCAGGCGGTTCGCGCGATCAAAAGCCATTACCACTTCTGTGGGGGAGTTACGCGCGTTCAATCCTTGAGGTTTTCGGTTTTGAGCATCCAGGCGTTGCCATCAGCTTGGGGCACCACATGCTAAGCAAAAGCCCATCGTTTGCAGCCCAAAGGGCGCTATACTTTTGAAAGCTCGATGCATGTTTTGGAGGCGATGGTCAAGACCGCGGCCTCGGCTTTTCGAAGGGGTGATGTCGTGCCGAAGTTGGCACAGAGAAAACGAGAAAACCGAGAATTCCAGGAGAACTGAAAAGCCAAAAGTCAACATGGCTCTCGCTGTGATCACGTTTTGTAGGGTGTTCGCTGTATTTGCAGTTTTCGTGTTTTCGGCACCCCCAAAAAGGGTACCCTCGAAAAGACACTGTTAAGGTGGGGGTATGGCAAACACTTCAAGACGGCACCTAGGCACCTAGCCTTTGCCACTCGTGTTCAAATTCTCAACGTGGCTTTTGTGTCCAGGATGTTGAAAAGAATTGCACAGGTTAGGTTGCTTGGACCTTGCCTTCAACGCCAGGAGTTTGGTGGTTTGGCTGATACTTCTGCTCACCTTTGTGTCGGAACAGGCCCGAAGGGTCACCCGTGAGTCAGCAGGGCATAGCGATGGCACAATGTGCGCGAGTTTTCAGATTTCCCCAAGTGGTTTTGAATTGGGCATTTGAGCCTGTCCTGACCAAACCTCAAAACAACAAGTCACAAAACAAGTGGAGGTGGATTTTATAGCCTGGAAATGCGATGCCGTCGTTGCAGGGCCTTTTGGGCAAGCACATGTATGTAAGAGCAGGCAAGATTTTCACATGACTTCGCCCTGGCCATTGAAGAATGCGCCAGAACGCCTCACAAAGGTTCCGCCACACGCCACCACCACTTTGCCAGCATGATGCCTCCTCAACCCGCCAACACGCGCATGCCACATATATGGGCTGCGTGGCGCGGAAGTTCCAATCAATAACCGCCCTAGGCTAGCAGTGTGCAGAGAGAGGTTTTGTGGAGTGAGGGATGGACGCAAGGAGTTGGCTCCGAGACTCCGGTCGCAAAGGGAGGCGATTCCTAGCCTGCGATCATTCGTGCTCGGCAGGCTTGCTGATTGGATAACCAGGGGTGGCGCTTAAGATTGTTGAAACAGATCACTATATTCTCGGGGCTGGTTGGGCCATGACATGACCTCTGCTATGGAAAGCACCTGCTTTAAGTGTCACACGCAGCTACTTGGGTATCGGTGCCAGAGTTGACCGCAGTCGCGCGGTCGTGCGGTCAGGTCTGCGAGGCGTACCGGGCGGCGCCGGGCTCAATGGACGAGCAGCACTTAAGGCAGTCGCAATTCGCTCATGGCAGGGCAGGATGGTCTCCTTTCGGGGGCCCGCTTTGGGTTCGTCACACCCTTGAAAACCCCTCCCTGCGCAACCATCTTGACTAGAATCTAAGTTAAACTCCATATGGGCAATGCAAGTTGATGACACCCTGAAGAGTCAGTTCCGCCCGGTATGCATCATACATGTATGGGGGAAGTATGACGCAACAATTGGCCAAAGGGCGGTATGTGGGGAACAGGGTCTAAACCTTTATTTGCTGCGAGTTGCGAAGTGACGCCAAAAATACTGAGGCACTCAGTGGCAATCTGCGAGGATAGGAAGCTTGTTTGCGCGCAGAAACGTTCTGGACACCCCCAAGCCCCAGGAGGCCTCTTGGCTATGAGGCTGTTGTGACGTCCCTCATTGGGTGACACAAGCTGGAGGTGGGGCTTAGATAGGCATCTTGTTGATACAGTCTGGGATCCTACAAGGCACCCCGAAGCAATCAATTCATCAATCAATCAATTCATCAATCCATCAATCCATCAATCCATCAGCCAATCAATCAATAAATCAATCAACACAACAACCAAACAATTCCTCAATCCACAACTGCAACACAGAGTACGGCACAGCATGGCAAAGCGGAGGACGCTAAATCAACTCAAGTCAATCAACCAGTCAGGGTAGGGCTTGACAAGGCCCTGAGACTCCCAATTCGGTCTCTGTCTCTTGTTGTGGGGTTGACACGGAGGCGCAGTGTGTGTGTGTGTGTGTCAGATGACCCGGTGCCAGGGTGATCGTGATCAGCTTGTCAGCGCTGAGCTTCGCACTCTCCAGCGGTATGGTGGCAGCTCGTTGGCCCCACAATCATTAGGAACAGAGAAACTTTAGAGCCTCCGGCTCAGTCCGCCGACATTGTCCTCTCCCTTTTCTCCTTCTTCCTCTCTCTCTTGTCTCCTCCCCCGTGTGTTCTGTTGTCCTCTCTCCCTCCCTCTGCTCCCCATCCCCCCCATCCCCCCAAGCCTCTCTCTGCGCAATCTCCCTCTCTCTGTCTCTTTTTTTTTCTCTCTCTCTCTCTCTATCTCTCTCTCTCTCTCTGTTTCTCCGTGACTTTCTGTCTCCCTGTCTCCTGCCTGTCCACGCCCCTCTACAGAAAAAAGGGTACCCTTATTCTAACCTTTGTACGGGGTCTCTCTTTCTCGCTCTTTCTCTCTGTCTCTCTCTCTCTCTCTCTCTTTGTCTCTCTTTCTCTCTCTGTCTTGTCAAACTACATGCTTCACTTTCTGCATTTGTGTTGCATGTATGTTCACTTCTGCAGGCCTTGAGCTCACTACATCGCATGAGTCAAAAGGTTGGCAGCTGCAGACTACATTGGTTGAGTTTAGTTGCACATGGACATGACGTCCCCGCAGGGTACCCTTGGGATCAAGCAACAAAAGTGTGCTGCCAAATCTGGTAGCGGAGCCCTGACTGTTCAGGGCACGCCATTGCGCCCGCGCTGATTGGGTGGCCTCGCCCTGACCGCGAGGTCCCCATCCATGAAACTACGCCTGACAGGGCGACTACACCGGAGGTGCGGTCACTACAGGCTCCAGTGACCACGGAGCTCCACTACCGCTTCAATCACTCCACGCCTTCCAACACGGCTTACTACAACCCAACAACTGTCATGGATCAACTACACATCACGGAATACCAACCACTGCCTGACAACACTCCCTACACTCAGTTTTTCACTCGACTTACACTGGGAGAGTATCAACTACTCTCACAACAACAAGCAACTCCACTTTCACAACTGGACTACACACGACCCATTCACTGCATCCCTGGAGACCTCCGGATGCCCCACTACAATTCCACACTGCTCAGCGTTTCACTACCTGAAGCAGCCAACGTCCACTACTACCACACAACTTCACTCCACACTACAACTGGCAACAACACCAACTACGTCATCATCCAACTACAGATTGGACAACAACTAATTGTGAGGTATCTCACTTCAGGACAATTTCTCAACTTCACCAGAGACTACATTTCCTACATGATGTCAGTACAACAGAACTACTACCTCCCAACTACACAACATCCACAAACCATCTACAAGGTGGACTACGACATGACTACCTTCACCGACAACTACAGCCTGAGGAAAAACTACATTTGGAACTATCACATGCCACTACTTCTACCGGAGCTACTCCACTACCTCTACAACCGCAACCAACTCCACGACTTTCAACACAAGGCCATTACTACCATCCTCTGCAAGAGCATCCAGTACTACGGTTTTACACTACTCACCATGACCAACCTCACCTGACATCACAAGGCACTACTACATCGTTTCCTTAGGGACTACGACCAACATATGTCGTGCCCTGAGATAGACGACGAGAGGCCACGAGGCGCTCCAAACTACATGACAACCTTTTTCACCACCCACTACTACGCGACCTTGGACAGTCGACTGCAGATGGTCCAAGCGTACCGCGCTCAGCACTGGGCACTACATGCTTGAGCTCCTGCTCTACTACATTGAGTAACTGCCTCACGAATTCCATCCAGCGCCACTACACCGTGCTGGACCACGAGCAGCGTGAACTACTGAGTGCAGGTTACTACCTTTTTGTCACTACAGTAGAATTGATGAACAACAATGGTTTTCATCACTACTGTCAATCCATGTTTCGCACTTCAGTTGAAAAGGTACTACAAAGACCTTTTAACTGAGGGGCCGTGTCAAACTACATGCTTCACTTCCTGCATTTGTGTTGCATGTATGTTCACTTCTGCAGGCCTTAAGCTCACTACATCCATCCATGGAACAGGAAAGAAAGATTAATCCTTTCTCAAAGACTCCTGTCACGTTCATGTTCCATGCGACCTATGGAAACCAGTTGGAGAGCATCCTGGATCAGGGAATCAGGACAGGAGCAAGTTCAACCCACAGGAAGAATTCATGGTCACCTTGCCTGCATCAACGACATCATCGTCGACGATGAACCATCCGAGGCAGCGCTGACTCATGTGCCTACAGGACGTGATGCACTCGTGATCCTTGCCTTTACAAAGAACAATCCGTACTCTTTCCGACTCTCCGAGGAACGAACGGTATTGACAGAGCATACCACTAACACCTCGGATATCATTGCAGCGTTTGATGCAGAGGGTCAGATCCTACAGTTCAACTATCGGATCCTGAAGAAGAACTTCAGCAAGGAAGGCAAGGAGATGCACGAGACCAAGGTCACGGAGTTCGCTGACCATTTCTTTGCACACGTCAATGCCAACAAGACAAACAAGAACCAATCAGAGAGGAGTCATCCATCAAGACCAGAAAGCGACGGCGTTCTACGGATCAAGATGAAGAAGAAGAGAAAATGGAACCTACGGAAGAGAGAACCGTCGAGCAGAAGGTCAGCCTGGAGCTGCACAATCCGGACAATCTATCACGATTCATCCAGACAGCCGCGGAAGTCGCTCTGCACCAAACCATGAACAAGATCGATGCAGCAGAAGAGCTCAAGACATCTCAGGAGAACTTCCGAGATTTCATGACAAGTTACAATACCGATCCAAGGAATGTTCATCCAGATTTGAATGAAACTGAGCTGAGATCCTTGGCGCATGTGAATCCCGACGCCAACTTCGATGAGGAAGTTTTTTACTTCCATCACCAACACGAGAAGCCGACAAGGGAGGAGTACAGGGCAGCACAGGACAAGTCAGGGTATCCAACCAGACGATTGGACTGAAGAAGTTGAGGCACGATGATGATCCGGACCTTATCAAGTCATTCACGGACATCCTTGCATCCCTGATGCAGCCGACAGATCGCCCTTATGTTGATCACCTCGCGTCACATGAATTCACTTCATCCTTGACGCTCAACATGCTCACCTTGAATAACGGAAACCTGACGAGGAACCCGCAGTTGGACAGCCGGGAAGTGAAATACATGTCGATGAATGAAAGGCCGCTCATCATGATGATGCCGCAGAACAGTGCCCACATCATTTGCCTCAACGAGGCCGATGCTTTCCTTTATCCGGAAGATGAGAAATCCAAGGACCTCATCAAGCTGTTCATAAAGTTCGGTTACAAGGGCATCGTTCTCAATTCCTAGAGTCAAGCTATTGGCACGACGCATGTTCACCAAAAGCCAATACTGGGGCACGACGTTCGGAATTTCAGATGCTATTTTGGAGTTGAGAAGGATTGCACTAATCCCGACTATGACATTCCCACATCCGACTGCTTGGCTACCACCGGAGCGGACATGCACGTCGATCAGCAGAAGTACATTGGAAGGAGATCGCCACCGCGCACGAAAGTCCAAGGACATGGCAAGCACAAGGAGATCGTTGTCATCGTCACACAGAGTTCAACAACGAGACGCGCGGCGCCCCACCGAAATGAACGGAAACTCCGTCCACATCCTTCGACAGTCGACACGTGTCAAGGCAGACCTCCCATTCGCAACCATTGGCGTGTTCCATGTTCCTCCGAACATCACCCATGGCGCAGCACGGGAAGATTTCGAATCAGGAATCATGCCCCTCGTCACCGAGTACCAATGCGATGCGATTACAGGTGGCGCGAACAAGTCCGCCAATACCTACAGCAAGCTTCAAGATGTCTACAATCCTGACCAAGGCCTCATCAACTACATCATCCAGAAATATCAGAAGACATGGAACGTCCTGTGCCATGAAGTCAATCGTAGGTCATCACCTCGACATGAAGACTGGATCCGGGTATGACAGAACATTTCCGGACTGCGTGATGACATTGGTATTTGGATGGGGAAAGACATCCAACAGCAGTTCCGCAAGTCAGAGATTGAATGTTTGACTGAAGCTCAACTGACAACCATGCAGGACGACTTGAGAAGGTCATCGCCGACTACCAGGTCTCGTCCAATGAACGCATCAAGCACATGCTGGGTCACAGTGATTCCGATTCACACAGCCCATTGATGGTCTACATCCGAAGCTGTGCAGCAAACCGGGAGAGAAACTACACTCGGACCAAGGAGTTTCTCAAGGGCAAGAAACAGGAGACAGCCTGGAAGCCATGGAACCAATACTCGTACGGCAATCAGGGATGGAAGCACTACAGCGATTCGACGTGGAGAGATTACGATTAATTACGGCAGCAGCTATCATTGGTACAACAAGAATTGATAAGCTATTGCGACTGCCTCCTTTGGCAACCATCCAGACCTCCTTGGGTCTTCAATGATTTGCCAGGACGAAGATTCTCAGAAGCTCGATTGCGAGAGTTCACACGAAATCGGCACTACGAATCACGACCAACTGATCCCCATCGACGACAACACTATTTTCACTGATAGATCAATAGTTTCACATCGATCCCGCATGTACAAAGCGTTGTGCATCCTCTTTTGATACAGCTAGGTATCTCACATCACGAATACAAACCGTTTTTCAGTTCTCACCAGGACTTTCCATCCGCGCAGCAAAAAGGATGAATCTAGCATTTCAATGGCTACGGCATAGACTCATCCACATTCGATAATAGCACCTGCTACTGGTTGAGCATTAATAGCTATGTTGTCTGACTTTTGACCTAATGATTCTAATGATGTGTCCTGCGAATTCCTGATAGGAATTATTGAATTAATTGTATATGTATTTCCTGCTAATAATCCTGCTAAATTATCTGATTGTAGAACATAACGAGCATCTGAACCTGCTATATCTAAAATAGACGAACAAGAAAACAAACCTGATACTTGTAAATTACTTAGTATTGTAGTATTATGATTTTTCAAATTGAAAAGTTGAAGAACTAATTTCTACATCACCAAAACCTCGT